AGCTGACAATAGCAAGCATAGAAAAAGGAAAGTGTCAGGAGATTGCTGTCATTAGCCCACACTCCAACTAGAAACAGATTTGATTTGAGTAAAAATCTCATCAACAAACACAGAAGATGAACTCTTTATGAAACCCCTGCTTAGTCTTGTTTATCATAAAATCCTTCATAAAACATATGAACAACTAAAAAACCTTGCTCATAGCACAAGAGATCTCTTACTTGGGATTAATTACTTACTCACATTACAATGACAAACGTCTTGATATATTTCAGTAATTTCTTTTTATTCCTGCACATCATTGCCAGAGGCAACCTGCAAGATCAGAATCAAAGCCATATCTATTTTCACTACTTTGATGGTCAGCTGTCAAAATAGCGTCCTTCTGCCCCATTAAAACAGTTCTAATACATACAAAAGATTGTAGGAAGCCATTCATAACAAGCCATCAAGGGAATGCTGTGATACAAATGATATATAAAAGGGGGTGCTATTTAAGTGTCAAGCATTCATATCTCTAAATGCAATGTACTTATTAGAGTATAAGTGGGCACTGAGCAGCTGTATCACGTAGGAAAAACATATTTAAAAGATTATCAAACTAAACAAATACTGAAAAGTTACACACACACACACACACACTCACACACACACATTCACACCTACATTTATTCTGCCAGCCCGGAGATTGAACCCGGCGACCTCCTGGTCACAAACCTGCTTCTCTAACCTTTAGAGACTAACTCCCTCTCCTATCTCTCATAACTGAATTGTATTTCAATGTACTCTCCATTTTTCTTTAGACAGTGTAACAGTCTAGAGGTCCCAACATTGATAATCAGGGGTGGAAATTAACTTTGTTTGCTCATCTGCCAAGGTGGCTGTTAGATGAAAAAAAATCCACCGGCCAAACATATTTATTACCTGCCAAAATCATAAATTGCCTTTTTGTGTCACATATAAATTTGTTTTGGTCTGTTTTATTGAGCTAATATGGTATTATGTCCAATACAAACTTAAAGAAGAGGCCAGAGGGAAATTCAAAGCAAATTATATTACTGCTATTAAATGTACTTAAAACATAACAGTAAATTGTGCTGGTGTTATTTCACGGGGGTATTGCGCCAATCTGCCAACTTGTTGCACTTTATAAAAGGTATGGAGCAGATTTTATCCTCCTCTGGGCCGGGAAAGTTGGTTACAGACACGAGACAGAACAATCTGTTTGTGAAAAGCCACAGCAGACATGCCGCGGCACGCCGCTGGTTCCAGTAAAGCTGAGCCGCTATGTGAAAGCACACGATTGCGGGCCTTTTGTTCAGTATAAATAAGCAAATTCGACATAAAAGCGGATATTCTTTCCGCGCTGATCTCCGTATGAAAGCGGTTACACTCTCACTCTCCCCTCCCGACTCACCCCTTACAAATCTATGTCAATCAAACCCAAGTGCCATGAAAAGAACATAAACAACGACCAATGAACACCCCTAATCCATGTGTTACCAATTTTAGATACCTTGGTACATAGGGGACCAATTTAAGTGCGACACACAACCAGCATGAACACCGGTCTGCTGCAAATTATCAAATAGATATTATATGCCAAATAGATTTTGGCATTTGGCCGCCAAACGGAAAATCCACCCGCAGTTGGTGGGTGGCGGGTGTTAATTTCCATCCCTGATTGCTACTTTCAGATCAATTGATAAGTCGATCAAAACAAAATTAACTATTTGGAGCAAGGATAAATCATTTTGAGTCACTTTGAGCAAATCTTAGCTTGTACCAGCTTCTTAAAAATTAGGGTTTGCTTTTTTCTCGTGTTTATATTACTGTATCTCAAAATCTTTTGGGAGTTTGAACTATTGGGTGGGAAAGAAACCTATTAAAAATCATTTGGGGCTCTGAGAAACTGAGATGATTAATTTTCTCTGTTTTCTGCCATTTTAAGAACACGATTGAGAAAATAATCAGGAGATTACATTATAATAATTATAATCGTTAGTTGCAGCCCTACCACTCTATACTTTAATTTGCAGTCCATCTATTAGTTACATCCATATCAGCATCACTGTCCGTTTCCCGTCATGTGATCAGTACATTTGCAGCCTTCTCTACTGACCATCAGCCTGAATAAGAGCAAAATGAAGATGAGCCAGCGACAGGCTGAGGCAGCTACAGGCTGTCACCAATCTGCTGATGCTGACAACGGCCTGCAAAGTGGAGAGAACAGACTCAAAGAGGACACTATACTGAAAACAGATGAGCTGAGACTCTTCCACAGACTCTTCCAGAGAGTCACGATTCATTTGGTATTTGGATTTATTTCAGTTTTAAAAGGATGGACAAAGAATCGAACCAGTCAAAAAAATCCCTGATAAAATGGGCTGATTTCATTTATTACCACTTTGAAATAGAAATAAATGTAAATCAGTGAAAGGAGCTACTGTGGTGTTTGGATGGCAGAGAAACCTACAGACTCTCCGGCCTTAAAATCACATGATGGAGAGTGGCTGGCTGACATGTTTACTAGTGCTGCAACTAACAATTATTTTCATTATTGATTAATCGGCCATTTATTTCTTCAATTTAATCTAATTAAATCATTAGTCATGTAAAATTGTTATAAATGCCATTCACAACTTTGTGGAGCCCAAGGTGAGGTCTTCAAATGTCTTGTTTTGTCTGACCAAAAAGTATTCAGTTTATGATACATGACAAAGAAAATGAGCAAATTCTGTCTTTTGAGAAGCTGGAACCGAAGATCATGCAGTGTTCACAATTTTTGCTTGAAGAAAAATTACTGAAACAGTGAATCGATTATCAAAATAGTTGCATTTTTTTGATTAACCGACTAATACTTTCAGCTCTAATGCTTACATCCGGGGCTGGGAAATAAACAATAATGATAATTTTTGTAATATAATTTTCCTCAATAACAATATAACAAATGTTCAATAAATACTCTATAAATGTTTTTAAATGATCCACTGAGTTTGTGGATGTGTTTTTCATGTTCAGACCATAAAGAATAGTTTAAAACCACATTATCTGGTTTCTTCAACTTTCACTAAGGAGCAAAAATCAAAGAAATAATGATTTGGCATTTATCATGATAATCATCAGTATCAAATGATCTACAAATTTTAATCGTGATAACATTTTTGGCCATATTGCTCAGCCCTACTTACATATCTACTTTAAGTGTAGATATTCATTGACCAACATTATCTGTAGGCTTGTGCACATTAAAATTACAATGTTTTAGAATGTTTAAAAAAAAAAAAACAGTAAAGAAACAGCACTGAATGACATCAATGATACCTGATCTGTCACTCAGCACCAATATTGTGTTTTTGATTCGGTTAATTTCCAACTCGATATTCTCCAAATCCTAACTTCTGCCGGGAAGTAAGAACACCTTTGACACGCTGGCTTTATACATCCCGATAGCCAAACAATGCGACCGTTTTACTACATTCCCTCTATGGTAACATAGCAGAGATTCCTCAGCAGCGACCTCATAAATACTTCAGATGCTTTGTTCTGTCAGAGAACATCTAGTGATTAACACATATTTACAGTGGTGCTGAGGTGTGTCACAGAGCCAGAGTCAGGAATACAACAGATCTAGCCGAAGTGACTTGCACTTCACGTTTTTCAAGTCATGACTGGGCTCCAGTCACTGGCTCCATCAAGCAGAGGCACTGGGTCAGGGAGTGGCATTGAAACAACTAGGTGACCAATGATTATGATGAATTAATAAAACTGTCTCTGCCAGGCTTGGTATGACTAAATAAGTGCTGGCATCTCCATACATAATATTTATTTTAGGTTAATGTTAGGCGCCACAGAGATGTCTGGTTAGGGCTAGAACTGAAACAATAAATTAATTGATAATTCAATCAACAGAAAATGATAATCAATTAATCATTGAAGTGTTTTAATGGAGGACAAATGTTAAATATTTTCTAGTTCCTGCTTGTGAAATGTGATGATTTGAATTTGTCTGTTTTATATCATTGTAAATTAAATATCTTTGGGTTCTGTGACTGTAATATATATATGAAATAAGATATTTGAGGACGAAAGGCTTTCAGAGTATGCTGTTTCACTATTTATTTAACATTTCATACACTAAGCGATTTCCCACTTATTATCAAAATAATAATCAACAAGCAAAAACATTGATAATGAAAATAATCACAAGTTGCAGCAACCTTAATTAGGGTGCAAGTTGAGTTCAGATGAAACACAAATAAATGGGGAAACAGACTAATTGTATTGTGAGATTTTAAAACACATGTTGTATTATAACACTAACGTTACATCAGAGTTTCTGAAAAACCCCTGTTCAGCTTGATTTGTCAGGCAGTTCAACCTGATGAACACAAAACTTGATTTGGTTTTCTATTCCCAAACAGATACCAAGAGAGTATCGAAATCAATAAAGACACTAATTGTTATGATTTCCTGTTGTCATATTGAATAACATAACATCAGTCTTCAAACGCATGTTAACTTGCCAAAAGGACACTTATGTGAGTGTTTAACAGCATGTCAGGTTGGTTGTAAACCTTATTACAATGGGCTGGTTAAGTCGGCATCATCTACAAGTGACAGAGAGGAGAACAAACAGCCACTGCTAGCAACTGACAAACTAACTAGCTCCAAAGCTTTCAAACTGTGTCACAGTTAATCTTTTAAACACAACCAACGACTCGGTTTGGCTGAATTCAAACCACTTAACAACTCCACCGTCTAGCTGACACATTTCTTATATAACGCAGAGAGCCTGGCTTTGCATAGTCAGCGCGCCTGGACAGTTTCACCTGTCTGTCTGCCCGGTCAAGTTTACCTAAACCCAAACATTAGCAAGCAGTTAGCTAAGGTAGCTAATGTTAGCCAACTCGTTAGCCACCTTTCCTAGTCTATAACTGCTATTAGGAGGTTTATTAAAAAAACTGGATGACATGCTGGGATAAACAGAGATCCCTTACCCTTTGTAGTACGCTTTCACCCGGACTTGATGGGAATTCTCGCCGGGGTGGGACATGGTGCTGTCCCGCAACGTCGGCATCATAAGCTCAGTCGTGGTCAGTCCGACTCACCGATGCCTTCCTTCCTTCTTTGCCTCCCTAGTTGTGTAACACGTCCAAAACACTTTGCTTGTATAGTCCGTCGACACACTGAGATAACAACGAGGCAAGCGATGATAAAAACGAAGAATGTGCCCTTCTTTAGAGAAACAAAAATTATAAAGTAAAGAAAAACTTGCGAGGTCCGCCAAACAACTCCCTACTGCAAAGGCCTAACGATGGTCGACTCCATCGTCGGAATGCTAGGGGTGGCGCGTACAGACATGTAAACTTACGTTAAAAAAATACTATGTTAAAAATATTCTAATACACTGTTTCTTACTGAGTCTAAGTTCACATAGCATAAAAAACCAGAACAAAGTGGTTAACATCTTCTTAAATATATAACATTTGCAATATATAACAATATATAACATTTGCCAGCATTCAGACTGTACCAACTAAAGGCTTTATGTGGGTGAGTGCTACCTTCAAGTTCAAACATCTGAGCTCGGACATCGTAGAAACCTTCAGAAATAACGTCAAAATTGACCAGCAACAAAAGCAAAGTGATTTGGTTTATTACACATACATACACATTTATTTTTAGAAATGGACGAGCTCTTTTTGCTGTGTGCTAGAATGAAGAGTGAAAACGTGAAACGGGCATGTGGTTTATAAAGAGAAAGAAAGAAGGAAAAATTATGGACCTGCACACACACACTCAACAATAGTATTTAACAATGACTTTAAATATTAGCATTACTTTAATTTATTTTATTTATTTATCTAACCCAATGCAACATCTGGCTAATTTCTCTCCTAATTAAAATGTTAAAGCTATCTCTCTTACTTTCATTTAGTGGTACTGCTCCCTCTAGAAACATGTTTGTATCTTTGCTGGTATGTTCAGACCACTCATAGCATATTATTTAAAGTCAATGATTCAAACATTTTACGGAGTGGTTCAGGCAGATTTATCTGGTAGCCTACTTAAATATTTCCGACCGACCCTGAATACCACGTGAAAAGAGCATCCTTCGCAAACGAGAACTTGTTGTGCCCCCCCCCGCTCCCAGATGAAACACCTGACAGGTCGTGATGACCGGTCCCGGGAAACACACTACAAAGTATAACCTGTGTGTTTGCTGCATAAATACAATAATTTGACCTAAATTCGTTTTTAACTTCTTTTCTTTTGTCCTTCTCAGGGACAGAAACAGAAACAGGGGAACATGACCAACTCTTTCTTACTTACTTTCTCCACCTAATTAGCTACTGTCGGTTATCCTATGTGCATCATTAATAATAATGCTGCATTAGTTTTTGAGTTTTTGGAAACATAGTCTGAAATCGAAAAAGTTTAATTTGCTATCCAATCCAAAGCCTGTACCCCCCTTTACTTCCCCATCACAGCGCAGCCTCTTTTTTTCACAATCACTGATTCGCAGATCAATTTTCCCTTTTGTCAACTGATTAACTTAGTAGCCTATTGTAATTTATTTTCTTGAATGCCTTTATGTCTGCAGAGCAAGAAGCTGCTGTAGAGGGGTTTTAACAGGTTAACAACTGTTTCATAAAGTGGTGCACTAACTGAAAGGTGATCTCTTAGAAAACAAACCCATATAAAGAATTATTATACGATTATTACTTTATGTCTGTGATATCAGCCCATCACCTGTTTGTGTCTTGCATATTAAAATATTCGCTGGACTGTGATTGCCCCCACAAAGCTTTAGAGGTCCAATCCCCATATCTTCTTTTTTTGAGCGAAGAGGTTATTTAAAGCCTTTCATCAGATATGTTAATAATAAACGTTGGCTAAATAAAAGTCATTCAAAGCAGATAAAAACACATTTTAAGCCGCCAAACACCGTCGGGACTGTCCGTGCAGTGAGCGCAGCGGGCTCCCCGGCTGTGAAAGGTCCTCCCGCACTGCGAGCGGTGCTGTGTCAAGGCTTTTTTATTGCCTGCTATGTACCGTCTGATTTTTTAAAATCTCCATTTTAGACCGTACTGACGCATCAGTAGGCTTCATGACTGGGGTAGTGTTCCGGGGTATGGTCAGCTCCCGATGACCCATGTCCATCAATACCAGGCAGGTAACGCCGACAAGAGGTGAATGATGTGTGCATGCATGAAGCGCTGTCTGAGCGATGGGAGGCAGGCCGACAGGGGGATGACATCCTGCTTTGTTAATTGTATTATGTAAATCCTAAATTATGGACAGTGGATTTAAGCTAAGGCTCATTTGTGATTGTTCAGGATTTATCGAGATGCCGGCGTTGTAATTGGACAGGACTGGCTCTGCAGCAAAAATCAATCAATATTCAAGCTGCTATGGACCATCAATGTTTAGCCTCATGAAATATCGCAGAGACATGTAGACTGTGTACTATTTTAAGGCTAGATCTCTGAGATGATCATAAAAATATCTCACTCATATTTCGCTCATATTTATCAGCAATTGAAAGAGAACAAACCCATATTGTAGCACCTTTGTCTCTTTACAGATGTGTAGTAGCACCAAATTACCTTTACACCCAATTGAAAATACATCAGTAATTTGAATGATTGACCTTTTTTATAAATAGCCTATTTTATATATCCCTTTATGATCATTTGTTTCTAACTTGTGTATAGAGCTATAATTTGATGTTTGACAGATGGCTTCTGTATTGAAATGACCAAGGTCAAACTAAAGTTTTAGATGCACTTTTTCAAGAATATAGGCTAAAAAAGAAAACAAAAAGGATGGAAATAATAAAGGTGGGTAAGTTATATCATACAGAATACTGTGAGCCATAGTCCTATTTGGCCGTTTATTTCAGCGCTGCAGTGGATCAGGCCTAACTTTTTAAAATTTAAGTGATTTTACATGTAGGCAAATTGTATTTATAGGCCCATGCTTGTCAAGTTAAAACCAAACCGAAATATAACAGGTTAAATTTAGTTAACCAAGTGTCCTTAAAGTGTGATGGAGTAGCCAAAATTTTGTTGATAGGCTAGATAATAACCTAGTTGTAGCTAGATAATCTGAACAGGAAAACCCACCTGCTCAATCTTGTAGGCTAAATTACCGGTAACATAGTTTAACATTTTGCAGAATGAACACTGTGTGTTTTATATAAAACTATATATAATATAAACTATTCAGTAGCTCATTTAAAGTGTGTAACATCTTTCGATTGAGACTAAACTATAAGCATTTGCTGCAGAGAGGCAGCTGCACTGCTAAACAACAAAAGAGAAGGTGTAGCCTACATCTCCATTACCCTGACTCAGCTTAAGTTGGAAGTGTTTTTTTTTTAACCTCCTCGTATTAATTAATGTATATTTCACCCCGCAGTTCTCCCATTACTGAATCTGTGTGTGACCTGAGATGGATAGGCAAAGCCCAGGAGAGAAGCAGGCAGACACTAAAAGGACTACAGCCCCCAGCACCCTCACATCATCTGCTGTCACCATGGCAACAGCTAGCTCCAGCAGCACTATGTGCACCCAGACGCCCCCTACTTCCCTCAGCATCATCTCACCAGACAGACAGGCGGTCCAGGTAATAGAAAGGTCCTAGGACCTCTGCATGCATTGTTTCATTTGAGAGGAGTCAGGGCAATAGACAGCACCTGGGAGCTCTGCAGGTATTGTTTGACTTGACAGTCTGGCAGGTGATAGATATTCTTTGTGTCAATAGATTGATATGTTGTCTATGAAACACATAGATTTTGTTCATTCCATCTGGAAATTAAGTGAAATAGTTATTTCCATATAAAATAGCTGATAGCACTAAAGTGAAATCCAATTACTTATATTTATGGTGTACAAAATACTCTAAACCTTCTCTTTCATTGGTGCCTTACAGCCCTGCACCCTAGCTGTTCACATAAGGGTTTTAAATATCTCAAACCCATGGCCAATAAAAGTATCTTTTAGCGCAAGCAAATGTTCAATATTCAAGGAATATTCCAATCACAACATCAGATAATTAAATGTTCTCAGCACTTCAAAGCTTTCATTTGTCAGCGCAATAAGAGCAAATGGAATAAAATCCAAACAACTACTAGCCTTGTGCTGCAGATAATGAACTGACATTAATTTGTTAAGTGCTTGATGTGTCCATGATGTGATGCAATAGGTGATCCAGCACGCCATCCACAGACCTCAGAGCATGGCAGCCCAGTACCTGCATCAGATGTACGCAGCCCAGCAGCAGCACCTCATGCTGCAGACAGCAGCCCTGCAGCAGCACCAACACCCCCCCCATCTGCAGAGTCTGGCCACCATACAGCAGGTCAGATGGTGTCTTTCATGTGTTAGTGCAAGCATGAAGAGTCATTTTAACATGAGCTATAGGGTGTGCGATGTCTCTCCAATAATTTTCAGGCTTCGGTCTGTCAGAGGCATTCACCTTCTTCATCCAGTGGCAGTTTGGTTCATCAGCCTGCTGGTGTTCCCCAAAACTCAGTAAGTATCAATCTGACCACAAATCAGAGCACAAATAATAAATCTCAGCATCTTTCTTTAAACATCATTATTCATCACGCTGCCCCTAATCCAGATTACTTTACCATCATCTCCGGTGACTGCCCAGCTGATTGGCCGCACCCAAACATCCACTGGTGCAGCAACCACCATTTCCCAGCAGGCCATGCTATTGGGAAACAGACCGGCCAACTGTAACCAAGCTCAGATGTACCTTCGCACTCAGATGGTATGGACCTTTTCAAATATCTCAAGCTGTTTGTCATACCGGTACAATGAAACATGCAATTTCTCTATTTCTAACCAGCTAGCCACCTGCCTCTCCCTGCTTTTTGCTTTTCTTCTATCAGCTTATTCTAACCCCTGCAGCCACGGTGGCTGCTGTTCAATCAGACCTCCCTGCCATCACCTCCTGCTCCTCTTTACCTACCTCCTCTCAGGTATAAACTTTGTCAGGCACAAAATTAAAATAACCCATGCTAAAATGTGACTTGGGATTCTGATGAATGTTAGAGGAACCATTAATAAAGTTTCATGAAATGACAAGGTAGAGTGACTTTCTTTTGGCGTATATTCAGGTGCAGAATCTAGCTCTGCGCGCCCATTTGCCTGGAGCTCTGGCTACAGCACACAGTGTGATTTTAAAGCCATCCGCCCAGTCCCAACCCCTGACTCCGGCTGCCTCTTTGTCCAAGACGCCAATCTGCGCGCTGAAGAACAACCAGCTGACTGACACCTCAACAGAAACAGGACCAGCTGACGTCACCCGGCCGGCCTCTGGAACCCAGATTATAACTCCAGGTGAGCTAATGTGTTCAAATACTGAGGTTTAAAAGGAAAGATGACTTCGACAGCTGAAACATTTCAGACTTACTGTAAGCGATGAGTCACAGCAATGAAAATGAACTCCCACACAATATTTACACTTCGACAGGCATTTCATATAACAAATGACATCAAGTCTGCATATATATACTCGCAGAGAACAACTACTGATCCTAAGAACCAAGCAATCCAACATCAACAACACCTGGCAAGGGGTGGGAGAAGAAAACTAATATTTTTTAGGCCATTCCATTTTTTATTTACAGGATTTTGGAGTAGCAAAACTGTTACACAACCTCTCACAAAATGAAACCTTCCAGTAGTAGTTTTAAACAAGTATAGATGTTTTAGAGACAAGCATTCAAGCATCAAGAAGACATACTCTTTCTCTGATCATGTAATGCAAAATATGTTGGGTTTGTTTGGAGTTTTTGGTAGGTGCTTCCTACAATGCAGATTTAGGCTCCCTTTAAAGCTGAAAAAACATTTACAGTGTTTTATTTAATTAGACGGATAAGAGTCCAAGTAGTTGAGACACAATACAGGAACAACAGATTTGCGTGATGTGGAGAAGTCAAAGACATGTTGACAAAGACGTTTAGAGAAACATGAATACTGATTCAGGACTGTGCTGTTACCTGTCAGGTCAACCTTAAATGAGATACTTGTTTTGTGTATTTTTGTTTATCGTGTCTATCTATGTATCGCTGTCCTTGCAGCCTACTCTCCGGTGCCGACCCACACTTTGGTCAAGCAGCAGGTGTCCTGTCCACAAGGCCAGCGGGTGGCGCATCAGCAGCTCATCCTTCAGCAGGCTACAGGAGGAGCTGCAAACCACAGACAGCTCCAGCCCATCGCCCTCAGAGTAGCACCTCAAGAAACCAACTCCATCCCTCTTCCTCTGTCTATTAAGAGACTCACCACTCCCAGCACCCAGTCACAAACCAACAATGACCCTCGAGCTTCTTCTTCTTCTCCGTCTGTCACCAGCGTGTTTGCATCTTCAGCTCAGACCTCAATCCCGGCCGCCACCGTTCAGCCTCAGCCTCCTCCTCTGGTGGCCGCTCCGCAGCGTCGGACCTCATTCCCACAAGTGCAGAACCAGCCTCCACCTCCTCCTCCTCCTTTGGTTCTCCCCAGGCTGCCCCAAAACCCCCCAACATCCCTCCACAGGCTGTCCCTGCATTCGGTCCAGGCTTTGGCCGTCCAGTCAGGACGGGTGCTGCTGACAGAGCAGGAGCTGCCTGTAGCTGAGGCTCTCGTCCAGATGCCCTACCAGAACCTCCCACCTCCTCAGACGGTGGCTGTTGATCTGAAAGTGCACCCAATCAGACGTAACGAAACTCCATCGGTGAGTAGCCGTGGTTAAGCTTTGTTGCTCTGCTCTGCTTGTTCTCAGTACGGGTAATTTTGATCAAGAGTTTGTTGTGGTTTGACTTTCAGTCGGGGCAAACATGCAAAGTGAATGGATTGAGCTCAGAGGCAAGGAAAGATGAATGTTCTTCTGGTCCACAGAGAGACAGGACTCCTACACCTCTCATTGTGCCTCCTAAGCAGAATGGTTCAGGTAAAATATGATAATGAGAGAATAAAATACTGTAAAACTTCAAGCCTAGTCCCACTTACACGCCTGTCTCTTTTACTAGACTGGTGTGGCTACACATTTTGACAAATAAATGCAGGTCTCAATGAGACACCAGGTCTGTATAAAACCTCTTAATGTCAGGGTGTTGTGGTGGTTGAGCAGGTGGGACCCAAACGCAGGACGCAGAGCAGAGGAAGTACAGTTCAAAAAGGTTTAATTCCAACAGAAATCCAAATGAACACGACTAATAAGGCAGGCAGGACAACACACAGCAACATGGGACAGAGCATCTACACACTACAATGACCGGACAAAGACTGAGGGAAACAAGCAAGGATATATACACACACACAAGGTTAACAAGCTGGGAGGAGACACGCAGATGAGGGACATGAGGCTGACGAGACACAGGCAGGCAGAGAGATAACTGGGGGAACAGACGGAACACTAAACAGGCAGACATGGGGCAAAATAACAACCAACAGAAGAACACAGACATGAACTAATGTACAGGACGAAGAACTAAGACACAAGACTACACAGGGAAACACAGAACCAAAACGGACTTAAACAGGAAACATGACACACTTAAAGCCCACTGGATCACCTGCTTGAGTGTGTTTGTCTATGTGTGGCCCTGCGATGGACAGACGGCCTGTCCAGGGTGTACCCCACCTTTCGCCCGATGTAAGCTGGGATTTTCTCCAGCGACCCTGTATGCAGGATAAGTGGTTGATGATGGATGGATGGATGAACATTTTAAGAGAGAAGAAATGGTGAAAAGATTTATGATGATAGATAGTATGAGGCTGCAGCCACCGGTCAAAGATGTTCCTTAACTTTATTTTTTAAAAGCACATGTGTTGATTAAAATACTGCGCAAATACTTACGTATACACATACAAGATATGAGCTCAGAATAAAGTGCATTGTCTGTCAATATGTGACATAAATCTGACATGTACTGTAAAACAGAAAAGGAACTGATTGTAATACTGGTTCAGCCTGAGGTGATGCCAAAGACTGAAAACTGACCTGACTGAAACAAGGTTAGTGTGGAGGGATAAGTTTCCATGGTAACTTCTGTCAGGCTTATTTAAACCTCCTTTATGAAACTGAATATCCTGAAAATAAAACCGGACCTACTGGAATAAACCTGGTTTAACTGGTGATATTGCTTTATGAAACACCTCTCAGTTCTACCTTTTCTGCCTCTGATTGTTCAGCAACGACGGGTTCATCCTCCATCATATCAAGTTGCTCGGTCATCAGGTCACCAGTGGTGGAAGAGCCGTCCCAGCTCACCAGCAGCAGCAACCTTCCTCCTCCTTCTCCTCCTCTACCTCCTCCCATCTTGCCAGCAGCAGTAAGAGGCCCCAGCCAGCCGCCCTCCTCCCCAGCCAGCCTCCCAGGGAGCCCAGACAACATACAAACAACCCACGTACTTACACACCTCGTGGAGGGATTCGTCATCCGTGAGGGCCTGGAGCCATTCCCGGTAATTCAGATTTTTCAGTTTTATTCTGAAATCCTTTAAACTGACATTGCGTTTTGTTGTTTGGTGGTATATATTTCTTATTATTCATGGCTAATCAACAGATTAATGTGTTATTATTATGTTATATCATATCATATATATGAAGTATAAAACATTTCCAGCTATTTAAAACATGAGTAAATGTCTAATTGAGAACATGTGTGACATGTGATAACAACATAAACAATTACCTATTACAAATATGTGCTTAACTGACTCTTAACCAGTACAAAAGTCTCTCTCAGACTATACCAATGAATATTTTATCACAAAGTAACTGCTGTAATGTGTGTAGCATCGCGGATTAATGATGAAACATGACAGAATCAAAGTGATATCTTTGAAGGACGAGGCTGTTGCTATATTTAGCTTATTGTCAGTAAAATCCCATGGAAAGACGAAAACCATCAATGTTTTATTCACTCTCTCTGTGTTTTCTTATTTTAAAATATTGATAAAGATATTACTGGGGGAAAAAGATTAGAAACATTATATACATACACTTTTATGAAAGGTTCATTCAGTTCAGTAAAACAGCAGGTCATTTTTAGCAAATGTTACCCAGACAGGGGAAAATAATGCATTTGTTGGGGACTATTTTCAGCTGCGCATCAACACACATTTGGTGTAGCATATTTTTAGCAGCAGGACAGTGTGCGTGGGACTGACTGAAAATAAACTAAAGTGTGTGTGTGCGTGTGTGTGTGTGTGTGTGTGTGTGTGTGTATGTGTGTGTGTGTTTATTGTAATGAAGGAACATGTCACCCAGTGCAATGACGTGGCTCACTGATGTGTTTTTAATTGTTCTTGGACAACAATGGAGCTGTATGGCACAGAGGAATAAGATATATTAGGCTTTGACTACACAGGCAGTACTTGTTAAGAGGATCAATTAATTATTCATTTGTTGTCAATTGTTGTCATTTCCGGATTTTCATTGGATTTCTTGACAATAAAGCACACAACACATTAAATTAGTATTTAGTAAAGTATAACTTTAATTTCTTTACCTTTTGGTCAAATCAATGGAATCCAGTGACATGTAAAAAACTCACAAGTCTTTCCATGTCAGTGTGTGAGATATAACTTTTCTAAATGTACCCTTTAATGCAGGTGGTCTCCTCGTCGCTGCTAGCAGAGCAGCAGGCTTCACTTCCTGAATCCCAGGAGATACAAACCAACGGTGATGCAGCAGCAGAGGACAGTCCGCTGGATGCTGACCAGTCGGATTCAACAGACTCTGAGATGGAAAACGATGGCCCTGCAGCAAATGGTGAGGTGGTATGTTTGTGTGTGTGTGTATATACAGTATATGTGTGTGGGGGTGGGTGTGCGCACGCATCTGTGACTAACAGCTTGTCCTGTGAAGTTGCAGAGTTGAGGGAGAGTGTGGCAGGTGTGCTGCAGTGTGAGTTCTGTGGGAGCAGAGGTTACGCTCACACGTTTCTGCGCTCCAAACGCTTCTGCTCCATGACGTGTGTCAGAAGGTAAATCAATCACTCACACATCCAGATGTGATTACCACGTCTCTGGTTTTTGCACTAACAAAACATCATCAGCATCAGTCTGGTTCCTGTCAGTCTGGTTCTAAAAATCAACGAAACAGCATTATAGACGCAATATCATGATATTCCAATTGCCGCTATACTGTATTTGATGTAAAAGGATCGGGAATTTTTTTACTTTTTTAACTATGCAGAGCTGGGAATGTCCCATGAAAAGAGCAAAACCAATTGATTTTAATAAGTATTATTTGCATATCCAAAGCCTGACAAGCTTCATTGTTGTCCAAAAAATACTAAAAACATATGAACAAATAAATGAGCCACACTGTCACCTGGGTGACGTGTTCCTTCATTACCATTAACACACACACTGTAGTTTGTTCTGAGTCAGTTTCACAAACATCCTCCTGCTGCCAGAAATACTAAACAGTCCTTAACAAATTCACAATGCTCGTGTCTGAGTGACATCTGCTAAAAACTACAGTGACCAGCGGTTTTAGGAAATTACTGAGCCTGTTGCTTTTACTCTCCACATCTTTTCTAGCTCCTCTTTCAGCCCTTGGTATTTTTCAAGCTTCTCGTGTTCCTTCTTCTTGATGTTGCTGTCGCTTGGCATTGCCACATCTACCACTGCAGCCTTCTTCTGCTGTTTGTCGATCAACACGATGTGTGGTTGGTTAGCCATCACCAGTTTGAATACATTAGGAAACGTATTCCTGGATCTTTGTCGTTTTATCCTTGACAGTGGTCTTGACACTCAGTAGCCCTCGGCCTCCCTCGCTACGCTTAGTGTACAGTCTCAGGGTGCTGGATTTGTGATAAACCCTCCATGCATTGTGAGGAGCTTTCTTGTCTTGATGTCAGTGGCCTCCTTTGGCCGGTTTATTATACCAGCGGGGTATCTGATGACTGGCAGGCTGTATGTGTTGATGGCTTGGATCTTGTTCTTCCCATTCAGCTGACTTTTCGTTACCACGCTCCTGGATAGCTCAGTGGTTAATGGTACTGACTTTGGTACAGGTGATTGTGGGTTTGATTCCTGGTCAGGGCAGAGGTATCCAGGAGCAAGGTCCTTTATGCTACCAGCCTACCTCAGGCATGAGTGAAACCGCAAATACAAGAGCCATACCGACTTGGACATCGCCCAGGTCAACAAGGTCTGTGTCAGTTGCTAGGGAACAAGGGCAGCCTGATAACAAATGGGCTACTGGAACAAAATGTTCATAGACTAGAGCAGAAATATGTATATATATATTTATGTCCTCACTGACAGTGTAGGGAAGTATTGCACGTGTTTGTTGCCTAGTTTGAAATGTATCACACAGTCTGGAAAAGTAGGTGGAAATAATGAGTAACACTCTCATTCTTCAGCAACAAAACATGCCCTTGAGCAAGGCACTTAGCTGTAGAGCGTAGCTCAGCACTCTGTCGCGGTGGTTGTGAGACACGACATCTGGAATCCATTGAGCTACATTTGGTTATAAAGAAAGTGTATAATCACTCCCACGTTTCCCTTTGAGTCTCCATCCAGGCATCAAAGAGGCCAGCTTTGAGTCCAGATGCTCAGTGCCTAATGGCAAGTGCCTGTCGAACTGTCTGCACTTAGTACACACAGGAAAGTTAAATCTCTAAGGGATTTTTGGGGCGTCAGGAATTAAATTATGACTGCAGTGCCACCACTTATGCAAATGTAGTCACCTGCAGTGGGCTGTATCTGCTGTCTGTGTTTAGGTTCAGTGTGAGTTGCACCAAGCGGATCACCTTGCTGAGAGCAGGTCGCTGGGGTCACAGGCCTGTGGGCAGGAGAGGACGACCCCCCAGCAGAGTCAACGGAGCCTCCAGAGAACATTTTCAGAGACAGGTCAGTTGATAGCACTGACCTGATGCATGTAGCAAAAATGCAGAAGTGCTGCAGGGATCACTGGTCCTATGAGAAGCGCCGCTCTCTGGGGAACAGCTGCATCTGACAGGAGCAAGGCTTTGAAGTAAAGGAGGCATGGGACCACATTTTTAAGATTATACAGCCTTGGGTTCTTTCAATAAGGGCATTACTTTTTTTACTTGTTTTATTTGAGACATATTAAATTACCTGATTTTTTTTAGAAAGTCATAAGAAACAAATAGAAGAAAAAATAATAATATATATAATAATAATGAACTTGTGTGACATAAATGTTTTTTTCAATTTTCTTTCCATATCCTGGTAATCATCAGATTCATCTTTTAGTATCTTATGGGGCTCCCTCCCCCCAGGTTGGAAACCACTGGTCTATAAGACTACTCAATAACAACTTCATAGACGGTGACAACTGTAAGAGAACCATTTTTGTTCTTGCATTAGTGTACCAAATGAATTATCTGAATTATGGCACTTTTCCAGATGAAGTTGAAAAAGTGCTTTACAATAAAACAAAAGAATGAAATTGTATAATGAAAATACTGAAGAAACTAAAATAACAACACAGGGGAAAATATAATAGAACAAAACATAAAACAATAAAGAAAAGAGTTTAGAAAGTTAAACTGACCAGAATTATAAACGTAAAATAGTAAAATGTTAGCAGATAAAACCGAGTGATCAAAAGTTATTTGAAAGATGTTAGAAATTGTGCGTCAAAGTCGCTTCTTCCTTAAAATAATTCTGTCACCAACATGAAGAATTTAATGTTAAATACATCATTTTAATATTTATTGCTAATAAGTGGAACATTGGTACAGTGGCTATGTTTTAAAATTACAAGAACTAAGGGTTTTCCCCAGTATTATTATTTCCAGGATGGAAAAAAGCCTCTAAAGCAGCATTTAAACCATAAGTTGATGCTAAAAGTCTTTCTTAAAATACAGACTAATTAAATTCTTTCAGTGTTAGAAGGCTGACAACTGGTTGACCTTTACTGTAAGTAGTCTCCTCCAACACACAGCAGATTCTTTCAGTCTTTATCTGATAGTGTTTGTGCCCCACAGATTCGTGATTCGTTTGTCTCCGAGGCGACCGGGCAAAGCTCACTGAGAGAGGAGGACGAGCAGGAGGAAGAGGAAGAGGACGATGAGCCTCCCGTTCCCATGACAACTAGGCTCCGGAAACAGGCCGAGAGAGAGCGAGAGAGGGAGAGAGAGCAGGAGAAAGAGCAGGAGCAGAGGATGACAGAAACGATCAGTGTTTCTGACGGAAACGAGGAAGACATCGGCTGTCCGTCTCAGTGGGATGTAGGACAGGTGTTTTCTTATATCAACTCTCTGCCAGGTACTGCTGTGGCTTTAACACACCTCTTGTCACTGAACATGGCAGATATGGTGGCTGTGTATTGAGGGTGGGAATTTGGTATGTCATGGTGGTTTGGGGTTAAAGACACTGTCAATCAAAGGCAAAAAAAATACTATTTTAAAAAAGAAAGTAGTAAAATGTTCCTGTTATAGGTTATAAACGTGTACCCGTATAGCAGAGCAGGCTGAATCTGAAGAACAAATATGGCAGTTTTAGCTGTATTAGAATTTTTTAATATTGAAGTAGTCATTTGCGTGTTGCATCAATCAGTTCTCAGTACTGTTATACTTTTTGATGTGTCTGATTTTAGAACAGAAATGAGGGATTTCCCCTGAAATATAAAACTATCATTTAATCTAAAGCAGCTCTTAAAGAATTCCTAGTTGGGTGGGTGTGATGGTAAACATTCTATTGCTTTTACTTTTTACCTTATAAGATTACTTAACTATATAGAGACATTGAAATTCAGCATGGCAGCCAACATATTGACACAGTAACCTGTAAACACAATAATATTTCCTGGTGCTCATAAGCAGCCAAACAAACAAAACGCCATGTTTTCCTCCAAACCTTTGTGCTCAAATTCAGCCCGTTGGGGTGGGTCCTTTTCCTGCCTTTGACTTTTCACATCTTGTCATAAACAAGAAACAAAACATTAAAAGATTAAAAATGAAGTACCCCTTGGGTTATTTCTTACATTTGAATTTATGTTGGTAGTTAGCACAATTTTATTTTGTCTTGCTGATGCTTGCTTCTGCGCATCAAATTAATTCCGCCCGATGTTTAAAACAGCAAAGGTAGCTTTGATTTAAGTGCCCCATAAAAGCTAGAGGAGGGTTTTTAAAGAATGTATATGTTTTTGTATAAACTTTGTATTGTAATTTAAGCATAAATAGTCACATAGGTCCCACACAGTCTCTTTATTCAGTCTCTATCTTCTTTTCTGTCCAGGTGGACAGGATGTAGCCGAGGAGTTTCGCTCCCAGGAAATAGATGGACAGGCTCTGCTGCTTCTAACAGAGGACCACCTGGTCAGCACCATGAACCTTAAACTGGGACCAGCACTCAAACTCTGTGCTCACATTAATTCTCTGAAAGAGACATAAACAATTAACATTTCTACCCTACAAGAATGGACTTGTGATGATCTGGACCAGGATGAAGAAAAAAAGAACGGTCTTTTTTAACTCTGCAGAGACAAAGAGGAAGCACTGCCCGCCTTTAACCTGTCTTTGGACTTAGTTAAGCAGAGAGTTATACTGCAGTTTTTTCCAGAGACCACTGCCAAGGATATCACTCCTCCGGCTGTCCAGTCTACCACACAGAGTGAAGTCCACACACGGTCACAGCTGATTTTAACACGCAGATGAGCAGCTCGTTCTGTCGCCTCTCATGGCTCCATTGTAGTGATTGTAGCAGTTTGGCTCCGGTTATCCATTTGTTTCAAAATGGTTTTAAAAAGTTATTTGTATCATTTGTACAAAACAATTTTACATTTACATTATTACACATAAAAGTTAAAGGATGCTGTACAGTCTCAAAGTTTACAAGACAGATTATTGCCTACTATCTTACAGATGAAGTTTGATACATATATCATCAGCAACCAACCAACAGTTATGACGTATGGAACCAAACTGATGGCTTATTTATGGGTTATTATTTATTATTGACATAATTAATATATACTAATAAAACCATTCAAATATTCTGCTCTGTTTTGTCATTTTGTGAAAGTCACTTTTGCTACTGGACAGAAATAAATGTGAGTTACATTGATATAAAAAGTGGAATTTGAAGAAAATCGTAATAATAGTTACCTTTCCTTTTGGTCACTTATTACGGCTTTAGTAATCACAGTGTTATCAGAGATGTTTTGCAGGTAGTATAGTATATGAGGTCTGCTGAACAAATTATTGATATGAGTCAAGTATCTGCACCAGTAAATGTATATTTATAAAATAACTAAAAAAATATGATTCATTACAATTTTTTATAAGTAGAACTTTTACATTTATTCAGCTAAATGAATAAATGTAAAAACAATCTGGCTTTAATGAAGCTTTATCATCTTATTATTTTAGAATATTTTGCTCTCATGTTGCATATTCATAAAATACATATCTATTTTAATGAAATTACTATGTAAACTTTGAGAACGAAACCTTTGATTTAATGAGTATGTGGTTATAGGTTAGGGGTCAGTAGAGGCCCAACAACTACGTCTTGCCCCGGAGCCCCCTTTATTTGATTATATGGTTTTCTGGCCATGCATACAGGTTATTTTATAGCCCTCTGCTTTGATCTCCAGAAACATCCACGGCCTCGCTCAAATGCTCTTAAGCAAACTTTGAAAGAACATTAGTTGTTTCGGACTTTCAGGCTTTCAGGCTGTCTGTTCATTTAACTTGCAGTTTAGTCTAAAAGCAAAACATGTTTATGCTTTTCAGCTGCTCAATCTTGTGTATTTTAGTGAAGCACCACCAGAGGGCAGTTTTTTACCCAGTTACTAAGAACTATATTTATCCTGCTGCTGTAAAGAGCCTGGCACAAAGAGACCCAGTCAAACTGTGGACTGTGGATGTGACAGTTTGTTGCTAGGTGGAAAACTCATCCAGCTCAAAAACTCATTGTCATGTTGTCTTTCCTGTGTACAAACAGTAAGCAGTTTGACAGATATTAGTCATATCATTACTGTCCATATTGCAAGTCACACTTTTTTGGCCGCTTTTTTAAATAAATGTGAAAATGAAAACATAAATAAGATAAAATGAAAACAACATTGGAGGATTAAGTGTTGAAATCCTTTACTGAAGTAAAAGTAGCAATAGCTCACTATAAAAATACTCCAGTCCTGCATTGAGTTTCCTTAAGTACACAGGTATCCGTACTCTAAAGTAAGTAACGGTCATAATGCAGTAAATTAGCCAACATGTTATAAGTTACATTATTGGATAATTATTATTGATACATGAATGTCCGAGCAGCATTTTACTGTCTTAGCTGCTCAAGCTAATATAAAATATTTTAAACTGTAGCCGTCAATATTTCCCTCTGAAATGAAGCGAAGCTTAAAGTGGCATCAAATGGCAATTCACAAGTAAAGTACTAGTAACTCAAACTTACTACTTAAATGTACTCAGTTACTTTCCACCACTGGGGGGGGGCATGCATGGCAAACAGAATATTCATAAAGGTAAGGAGAAAGTGTAAAGTAGTGCGCACAATCCGGCAGTAAGAACATGCATCTGTATAGTCTGTGTTTAGGTATCTGTATAATCAAGTACTGTAAGGGTTTGCATCAGGACAGTGCGCTACAATCAGACGACTGAATGTTATTATCACACAGTGAGACAGACTGAGATTCACAGGAGATTTGTTCCCACATCAACAACAACACATATTTGTTAACAGTGATAACTTTGTTTATTTGAAACAAGTTTGCAGCTCTTTCTTACATGGAAGAGACAGATTAAAATATATATTTGGAACATTGCTATAAGCATTGAAGTGCAAATGAGTACATTTCTCTAGTGAAAAATACTACTGACTATATCATACACTTTCTATGCTATACATGGGGAATGTGTTGCCTGGATGTGAAACGCATCAATGGAATGTTTTCAAGTGTGCAGGAACGGTCAGGATGAAAACAGAAACACTAAGAGTTACAGTTTATAGAGAAAGTTTCCATGCACACTATTTGGTTTACAAGGCTACTGTGCAAAAGTTGTGTTTAAGACATAGAGCAATATCACTGTGATAGAAATGTCATTAACTCGCTGACAGATGAGTGCTCGCAGAGGCAATAAGGTTGATCAGTTTACAGGCACTGCAAAGATGAATTTATACATCATTCTTCTGGTAACGCTTTATTTTATGGGTCTGTTCAGATTAATTTCCTACATGGTTTCCTGGAAAGAACCATGTAATGTGATACTAATTATGGGAGAGAGTGATCGGTTGGTACGCTTCCAAACTATTCCAAATGCTATGCTAGCGCAACCTTGAGACTTTCAATCCGAGGACAGCAGGTGAGCTTAACATGCAAAATGTCTATAAAAAAAATAAAAATACAATTCTGCATATATGAGGAGTAAAGTTTCTAATAATGAACGAGTGACGAATTAAATATTTACTTAGATTTAAATGGAGCCATTTCATTCATGGAAATTCCTCAAGGTCAATAATGAACTCGACACAACTAATTAAACTAACTAAAATTACAGTCTCAGAACTCTCTGTCTGTTATTACAGGTAAAATAGATCTGTAATAAGAAACAAGCTACCGGTTCTCCCCGGGAAACATTCAAGAAATCACAGACCCGTAAAATAAATCTTAAATTTTTTTCTATGCTGCATCCTAGATAATCGACACTAATCACACTAATGTTGGCTCCAATCGAATCCGAAATGTAAGTGGATAAATAAATACCCCTGAAGTCTGTGCAAACCTGACACTATAAGCTTTCTCACATAACTGGCCAACAACCTGAGGCAAGAGGCTTTTACAGCACTAGAAAATCCAGATGTACATTAGTTTCTAAACAAAATTAATGAATGTATTTTCCATCTGCAATACTGACGGCTGCAACAAAAAAAAACCAAATAGTTATCAAATAATTGTGTAAACCGTGATGCATGGCAGGCAATGACAGTACATAAAATCTCTAAAATCATAAATAAATGTATAAAAACACAGGAATGAGCCTTTTCATGGGGAAATGGGTTCAACATATTGCCTCTCTGCTTCTTGCTGGTTCTCTCAAGCGTGACCTAAAAAGGGTGGAACATTTTTCCCCAATGGGCAGCAGCAGCAGCTTACGATGACAACTGACCCACTCAAGCTCCACAGTGCAGGACACATGCAGAGGAGACGGGCAGGACAATACTTGAGAATCAAAGTGTCATTGCTGGGCGTCACCCTGGCTCAGGGCATGCTGCCAGAGCCGAGGCCGTCCTTCTCTACAGATATAGACTTGACCAGCTCCTCCACCCAGCGGACCTCAGAGGCCACCTGCTCAGCCAGGACGTCGTAGCGGTTTTCCAGGCGCCCAAACTTGCGCTTGAGGATGTTGGCGGCCTGCATGGTGGCCCGGGTGTCCTCCTGGCACTTCTTGCGCTGGGCTTGAGTGCGCTGCAGCTCTTGGCGGATGTGGGTCAGGTCGCTGGAGATGCTGTGGTTCTCCTCCTTGTACCAACCCTCCTTCTCCTCATAGATGGACAGCAGCGCCGCCACGTCCTCCCGGCACGAGCGCTGATTGCGCTCCAGCTCCCTCAGGCCTTCCTCTGCTGCCGTAATCTCCTCCAGGACCTGGGAGAAGCGCTCGAAGTTGATGTAAGTGTTGTTGGGTGGCATGCTGGAGTGGGACTTGATGGTGTACTCCTTCAAACGAGTGGTCTTCAGGCGCCGGCGCTCAGGCTTGTGGTCTCTGTCCTCCTGGCGGACATTTCGCCTCTTAATCACCTGGAGAGAGAAAAACATAAAGGTCTGAAATAAGCATGGTCATTTTAAAACATCCCAATAACATAACGATATTGGACTTTTGAGGGCAATAACAACACTGATATTTGAGAGCTTCAAAAGGTCTGATAATGATCAGCCGCTACATAAACACATAACATAGATTAAGGATTTCTTAAAAAAAAATAAAAAATTCATTCTTTCTGGTAGAAAAACTATGTAATGGAGAGACTGTTCCTAAATTACCTCAAATATATCTCTGGCATGCATTGTTTCTTATCAGCAAACATACAAGTACACTGATACATCTACAATAAGCTAATAACTGTCTAAATATTGGTCTGCCTCTATTCGTTAATGTAAGAAAAAACATAAATAATGTGTGTAAGTAAAATGTATTTAAATAGCACTTTTCAAAACAAAATGTCCAATGCCTCCCAAAGTAAGGACAGTGTTAAACACAAGATTCATTTCTCAGCACTTTCAGGGGCTTAAATGTGTCTTGAACAAGTTTCCTAACATAAATAGACAGCTCAGCAGCCGAGCGCCTCACCTGAAAGTGACTGTGATTGTGATGTTACGCTACATCACCAAATAATATAAATGCGAAGACAAAACAACAACACTCACCTTAATCCAGGGGTGCTCAAGACTGTCATCAATTGTCATTCTCTTCCTGCAAAAGAAAATGATCCACCAGTGAGAAAATGACAGCACAGAGACTTTCTATATATGTCTACACAACAGAGAAGTCTCTTCTTTGGGTTTGGTATAAAATCCTACTTGGGATCCTTGACCAGCAGGCGGCGTATGAAGTCCTTAGCCAGCTCACTGGTGTTGCTGAAATACTCCTCATCAAAGTCATAGTTGACAGCTGAGATGTTTGTCAGGGTCTCCTGCTTGGTCTCGCCCAGAAATGGTGAGGCACCGCTCAACCTACGGGGATGCATATTAAGGCTTTGCTTTAAAAAACACACGGATGACGAGCGAAGTGGTTTACGTTGCGACAAACATTCAACTGCCAGTTGCCACCACTGCCGTGGTGTGAAACATTACTCACAGAATGTACGTGATCACGCCGATGCTCCTGCAGAGAAAGGACAGAACCAAACATGAAAGGAAACTGCCACACGGATCAGCATACAGAGGAGAATAAACACATGTTGACATCTTACCACATGTCTGCCTCCAGTCCGAGCGGCTCATAGTTGACTATTTCAGGCGCTGTAAAGCACAGAGGAATGAACGCTTTAATTCACACCAGATGTGGAGATCTGCAACGCACTATCATCCACGTACATGGTTTAACTGCCTTGCCAGCGTGGGCACACACTAGCACAAAAAAAACGATTTAGGGTTTTTGTAAGTGGAACATTTTTTACTGATGGGGGGGAAGAAACACAGTCTCACCAACAAACTCTGGCGTTCCAAAAATGTTCTTGAACTCATTTCCCTCTTTAATCTGATGAGCAATCCCAAAGTCAATCAGCTTGATCCGGGGATTGGGGACGTTCTTGTCCAGCAGCATGATATTCTCGGGCTGAAAGATACAAAACATTAAAGCTGAACATGAGAGAATCAGGTTTTGATACAGTACCCATGTAAACAGAGAGCTAAGAAAGAAAAAAGCTATACATATACAAAACTGTACATAGTAGTTTAATATTTATCTTGTGAAGCTTTTTGTCGCTGTTTTTATCTGTTTTTCCTATTTCTTTGTCTGTACATTGAGAGCAACAAAAGAGTCCTTGTATGTGTACTATTCAGCCAAAATCAGCAGGTAGCTCAACAACCTTGTGTGTCTACAGCCTCTCTTCCAGATGGAAAAACCTTTCCACACACACAGACGTGCTAGATCCTAAAAGAACACCATAACAGACCTAACTAACACGTCAACTACAACTGTGGACCCCAGAGCCTCGCAAACAAGCCTCCTTAACCCACACAGACTGCTGACCTTGAGGTCGAAGTGAGCGATGCGTTTGGAGTGCAGATACTGAACGCCGTCCAGGATCTGCTTGAGAAACTGGGTGGCTTCCTCCTCCGTCAGCGATTCCTTCTCGGCCAGGAAGTCAAAGAGCTCCCCTCCGGACACCAGCTCCAGGATCAGGATCACGTCCGTCTTGTTTTCGAAGATGTCGTGCAGGGTGATGATGTTGCTGTGCTGGATCTCCCGCAGGATGTTGACCTCACGCTCGATCTCTTCGCGGCTCACCCCCCGCCGGCTGGACGACAGCCGCCTCTTCTTGATGAACTTGGCTGCGTACTCCACACCAGAGCTCTTCTCCTTACACTTACGAACAATGGCAAACTGTCCGCTGCAGGGAGGAGAGAGCAAAGGGATGTTAAAAAATAAGTATAATATAGTCCCAGCTGCATGTTATTATGATGATTGAATTCTTGGCTGCAGGTCAGACTACAGAAGCTATATCAAGACATCACTTTGGGCAATGATAACTTGTGATGGGAAGTGATCATTATTTTTAACATTTTATAGGTTAAGTCAGTGCTTCCCAAGTTGTTTGGCTTGTGCCCCCTTAAAATGAAGCACCTTCTACTATGACGTAGGCGTTCAAGCAAAACATTTTTTCTTTCTTTCTCAGATTGTTCATCTGAGGGATTTTAAGAAGCCTGGAGAGGTGAAAGTATTCAGTATTTCAAGAAACAAGGAGAAGGATTATTGATGCACAGGCAGAGTTTTTCATTTGTTTTAGGAAACATTAAGGACTCAATTTGTCAGAATAAATGACTGGGTAAACAGGAGATTTTTGAAGTGATCTTGTGACTCCTCAGATTTATCTCAGGGACCACTTGGGGGAAACACTAGACTCAGTAACAGATTAATAAAATAGTTGGAAATAAAATGGTCTAAGTAGCAAATAGAAAAGCTTAACAATTGATACATGATTGAAACAGTACATGTGCCGGCCTTTTCTACTGTATAGAGAGATAATGGAAATATATAATTTTGTTTTATAGTATCGGGTTTAAACGGGAATTAATAAATAAAATTACTGATGAGAACAATAAGACAACGTGCAGGTGAGGATAAAACAATTCAGTCTCCTTTAGAGACTCTAAGCCACAGCAGAGGTGGAGAGGCACATTGAGAGGCAGTGATGTCACACTTTTGCTGCATTACTGCAGAAGAAAGATAGCTGAGGTAGAAAGTTTGATTAATCTGCTAATACTGGATGACTCGCTTGCAAACTGTCAAGCACAGCGTAAAAAGCATATTTGATATATTGCTGAGACATACTAAATATTTTGGCCATCATTAGATCTAATGTTTTGGATGGTTTGCAGCTCATACATGGCATCAAAATGCATCTTTTATTTGTGAAAAAGTATTATTATACTAACATTCGTGCTCAGCCATATACACCCTCTGCTGCAGCTATATGGTACCTTACTTTTAAAAAGTTGTTTGAGTTGTTTCAAAAAAAAAAAACTAACTGTCATGCTGTGCACATACTATCAACTAAAGACACAACACTACATATATGGACATGCAAACCTCTGAAGGCCTTGAAACAATGCATAAATTAATAAATCCTAAAGCATCATAAATGTGTTTTGGGAGCATTCACACTTGTATTTAAAGCTGTACAGTGACTGGGACACCCAAGACAAATGTTAGAGTCAAGTGTGACCAGAGTCTTTTCTCAAACTGATGACAGTAGAGGTATCGGACAGATGCTTTTAGGTGAGTTTTGCCAGAGAAGAAAAGACAATAAATACCTGCCCAGCTCCTCTCCCATCTCATAATACAACTCAACATCCTCTTGCCTGAAGCCAGCCATGGTGTGTGGACTGGGATTGTACTGGGAGCAATGCATTGAGAGTCACTACAGTGAAAAAGAAAAAGATATTAAACCCGTTAATACTGGGAGTGAAATGTGAAATGACATGACAGACAATACAGTGACCAAAACAATGGCCTGTTGGCAGATCTAAACTATGAGAAAAGTCATAACTAAAGGCCATAATTCCCATTTTCCTCTAACATGGCAGTTCACCTCTTGAGTACCTGCGTTTCTTCCCTCCTTATTTGGCCCGAGTCAGCACAGCTCCAGTTTTCTGGCTGATGTCAGACCTCTGCATACCAGTCTTACTTACATCATCTCCTGCCCTGGTCCAGCTATCTCTCACTCAATTAAAGGGACTGGGATTTAGCCAAACAACCGTGTTTTTGTCTCATTTGAACCTTGTTTAATGTGACTGGACTATACATAAAAAGTTTAACTGAAACTATTTCTGATTGTAGCTCATACCTCACACTGGTGAGTAGCTGTAAACGATGCTGATTAACGACTCTGCTGTTGTTAAAAACGCTTTGAAAAGCAGGCAGCAGAGACACTTCCTCTCCGTGGAATATCATTAGAGAAAAGCGGCATAAAGATCAGGTTTATTGACACAAATACAAAAGGAAACTCGTGTCATAGGTACAACTTATTAACTTCTTCAAGACGACCAGAATACAAAAATAAGGGAATCGCAGCGACGGAAGACAGCTAGCTTAACGTTAGCCGGTTTACTAGCTGACGTTAACGTACGGTATAAACACCGGCTTTCGCTGTTTGTGACAAGTGTTACTTCAGTAAGGAAAACATACAATTAATAACACTGGAATACTGTCAGAAACATATATGTTTAACCGAAAAACTGTGAATCCGTTGCTGTAACGTATACTTACAGTATGGTTGGCTAAGAGCGCTGCATTCCCCTCCGAAGTAGTTGTGTGTGTGAATTCCCAGACTGAACAACAGGGTCAAGCTAGCCACGGAGAAGCACACAACTTCCGGTCTTCTGTGTCAAAATAAAGGCGTGAGCACCGGCGTGGTTGCATGAACAGTCAAGGTAAGCCACTGGAGTTGTATTTTTGTGGGTGTGCTCCCACAACTAGTAAAAATCATTTGTTGCTGCATTTGCGCTTTTCTTGTGATAATTCTGCTGCCCTGATATCAATAGATATCAATGGACTCTTTTTTGATTGGGCATAATGTGTACATATGTTATATATTTGATCCTGAGGATCACTGATTCTACTTTTATTGTATTTTGCTGATTACTGATTCTAACCGATTGTGTTTTTGTTTTCTTTGCACTGAATTTCCCTGTGCTGCCGTGCCAATTTGAATTTCCCTCACCTATATCAAGATCAATAAAGGAGCATCTTAAGTTATTATAGTATAGTACAATATAGAGATACACATTTTGGGTGTAGACCTGAAGCACTGGTACTATTAACTCCTGCAGTGGTGGACTACTTCTAATAATTCTCATTGAACACTGAAATGGATTCCTTGTATGCTTAAACAGCCTTTCAGTTAACTACATACTAAAAGTGTGTGTGATGTTGCAAAACACCAACTACCATAGTGGAATTGTGGACACCAAGAATGTTATTTCTGGGAATTTAGGTTTATTTTAATGACATGTGAAAACTTTAAACTATCCAAGTTTTAAGTAAATCCTAAATTTTAGTGGGTTTTACTTTTAGGGATAACCTAATGTAAGGGATTTATTTCTTCACCATAATTATGGCATTGTGGAGAATTCTTTGAAACAGCATTTAGACCTTCATGTGGCAAGATAATATTTACAGAAAAGGTATTTTAAGGGTTAAATGGAAATACTGAATGTTAGGAACATGGTTGTCACTCAAATGTTTCAGGTGGTTGGGGTTGCACTACATCTGGATATTTGGGGTCATGACTTCAAAATCCTGGATAGGGACCTGAAAAGTGTTAGGTAAACTGTTGTATTTACATGATTATGTTGCAAGTGTATTTGATATTTCAATGTAAAAGTCAGATTGAAACAACATGTCTTCATAGACACTACAAGTACTCCTTCATCCAGTGCTTCCTATAATCTGCCTGTCTCTTCCCTTATTTATTACAATAAACCCATCACTCTGACCACTAAGTGGCAGTCATGTATGAGGTGCCACCATGCAGATAAAAGTACTGTTATCTTCTGGTATAAAGACGTTCACTGGATTTCTTCTTGTGCAATGCTATTATTTTGAAGGCAGGGTTCGCTTAACTTCCGGTGCTGTGTCGCTTGATGCAGATAAATATCCGGCAGACGGGAGGACATATGGAATGACATCATGTAGAGTGAATCAACCCGCTGCAGTACGTCAATGAATAACAAGATCAAGCATGCAAAGATTAATGAGGGACTGAGGCCATTCAGATAACACTGGGTAACCGAGGTGACAGTACTCAAAAAGAACTAATTAATTATATAATAATAATAATAATAATAATAATAATGTACGCTTTTATTTCACACTTGCTTTGACAAGGTAAACATATGTTTTCCATGCCAATAAAACCCAGTTAAAATTAAATAAATAAATTGTATAAATGTTCACCTACTTTTTTTCTAGTTTGACTTATAAGTGAGTTTATGGTTGCTAGGATGTAGAACAGCTATTGAATGTATGAATGTACAAACGAAATGTCACAGGCATAATTAAAACACACGCTATAGAAATCACAAGAGCATTCAGTATCCAACCCAAAACTTCGATGAAAAACTGGATAGTTCGAATATTTATAATCATTTAACGATATCCATTGCCAGTTCAATTCTCAAACAAGTATTCTGCCAAACAGCTAGCTGTAGTACTTCGAATTTCTTTGCTTGACCATTTTCCTTAATGGCATTTTAAATAATATTTACAAATACAACACAATACAAATTCAGCAAGAAGTCCATTAAGTTACTTAGTGACCACATGTTCATATAACATGACAACATTTTGTAACATGTGAGAAGAATTTAGTGAGCATAGGATGGTAACAAAAGGTTGGGTTTCTGTGAAAATCCGGTTCCTCTGGATCCTCCCACTGCTCCTAATGCCATTTGCAAGAATGACAGCTCCCGAGTCAAAACTATCAATCAGACCCAGGAGCAGTCTCTAACACACTGCTTGTGCACACCTGCGCACCCCCTATTTAAAACACACATTATTTTATAGAAAGAATGTTGGTCTATGTTAATTGATGATTTGTTTATACTAGAACAAATCTATTTCTTTTTAAGACACCCTTTTTTAATGTAGTTTTACATTTACATTTGGTGAAATATGTTCACTTTCAAACAAGCTGCTTGTATGCCAGCTAGCCACAACTATATTAGCATAGTTTGTTAGTGTTAATTGTTAATCAATAACCTAGAGATAAAATCTATGTAAGTTTAAATTTGTAGTCATCTAAACTTTAGACACCAGAAGTGTTCTGTTGTTATGCTCCTGTTTGATGTTTTCTGCTGTATTTTGGAGTACTCGTACTATTGTCATTAGCTTTACTTCCTGTTTTATTTTGTAATCATTGGTGTTTTTGTCTGCGATGGATTGGCGACCTGTCCAGGGTGTACCCCGCCTTTCGCCCGATGCCAGCTGGGATTGGCTCCAGCCCCCCGCGACCCTGTACACAGGATAAGCGGTTGATGATGGATGGATGGATGGTGTTTTTGTCTAGCTTTGTTCCCTGTTTGCCTTGATTGCTCATGTGTCTCGGTCTCACCTGTGTTTAATTGAGCCTTCGCTAAGCCATGCCCCAAATGCGCAGCTGGCCAATCACATCGCAGGTCTTGCTCTAACTGAAATCCGTTGGCTTCTAGCTTTGTTGTTGTATTTTTACAAGCTATGGTCAAACATTGTTACTGGGGCACTTGTAATAGTTACAGTCACTACCCAGAGAGGTTGAAAGGAAAAATTTGACATTTCTCCAGGTAGTGCAGTAATGGACTGTGGCAGCAGCGTGATAAAAGTCTGACGGGTCTGAAAGTTTGTCGGACTTAAGCCTTGATTATACTCGGGAGCGGACACGGACTACTTCTGTTTATACTACCTTCAACAGTCAGCTTGGCGGACACGTTCCACACATGCGCAGTAGATCGGTTGTTGCCCTGGTAGCGCTAGTCAGTCACAAAAAATGGGAGGCACGCGTACCCAATGCGTACCCCCTCTAATGACGATTTTTTCGTCACACAGACCCTAGTGGACCCTCCCGTACTCGCGGACGTGGAAAGTATAATCCTTGCCTTAGCAACAGAAACTGAAGCTGATGATACACGGGGCAACTTTTTGAGCAATGTTGCTGGGCAATCTTGCTAGGGGCAAGTCCAACAGATAGCGATAGCGATTGTTTATCTTAATAAACCTATTTGAACTGCATCCGCCTTGCCACTGTCTGCATTATGGGTCCACACTTCTGCCTCCTTCCACTTCATTCAGCCTGCCTTATAGGTTTGGTGATTGGGGCTTGGCGAAGTAATACAAGCAGCAGAGAGCAACGCAGAAAGTTTTGCATTGTATATTCAATAGTTGCCGACTGCAACTTTAAATCTGAGTCATATAATAAAATAATTTTAATCTATAAAGGTTTCACCATTAATGCATCACGACATTCTGCACCTTGCTGCCCCACTGTACACAGCTGGGGCCCTTTTTTTCTCTTTTCGCCCTTCTCCCTCCAGCAGCCTGAGTCCGCCACTGCCTCCAGTGTATAGAACAATTCATAAACTGCTTACAAAGTTGGTGTTTCAAAAAGCAAAATATTTGCAGATTAGCAGTTTTACTAGAGGAATACCAGTGTACCATAAACTATAATTACAGTGAAAATACAGGTTTAGGGATGAAAAGCATAGGCACAATGTACCAGCATTCAAGAGTCCAAGTCACGTGGTTCAGGTCCACAAATGTGGTGACTGAAGAATTCCCAAAATCCTCAGTAAAAAACAGATAAAAAATGACCACAAGACAATAAAGAAACATTTAAAGAAAAATATCAAATATGATGACTCATATTTATGCCAACAATGTCTGTTTCAAATATGAGCCTAAATTGTATCGTTAATTTTTAATTTCATGTTTGTGTTGATACTGCTACTTACTTGTATGATTTATATTGATCATTTCAGACATATTGAATCAATTTTGATCAAGTCTATTAAATTTAAATGCCATGGCACCGCGCTTATTTCCTACTACTACTGTAACTTGTGTTTTACACCATGAACGGTCCTCCATCTTTAAAAGCTCAACCATGTCTGTGTTGCTTCAGTCTAAACTGCCAGGCCCCAGGTAAACTAGACTAAAAATGTTTAGTACACATAGATTTATTTAGATTAGCTCACTTCTGTCTCAACATTTCCACCATAGAGTTTCCACTGATTAATATCATGACTTTTTTTAAGTTTTGACCTTTTTTTGACAGACTTTGACTTTAACCAATCAGGGACGTATTCGCGCGCTCGTGACGGTGGCAGCCAATAAAAGATCCAGCACAGCAAAAAGTGGGCGTGGCGTCCCTAAACAGCTGGTGGGGGCTCGTGTGAGGGACTCGAGCCGAGCGGTTGGTTGATGGGGGAAACAACAACAAGCTAGGCATCATGAGGGTCCCCGAAACGCTGATTTGGACCGCTTTTCTCATCCAGAAGGTGAGAGAGACCGAGTGTGTTTCTTCGAAAACTGTTTCTTTGTGCATTTGCTTCGCTTAGCGGCACGTGGCTGACAAAAACAGACCGTGTTTTGGGATTATATTAGCTGGGATGCTATGACTGTTAGCTTGCGGAGATCACCGTGGGCCCTGGGAACCCAACGAACCCACACACCACTCACCTTTTTGATGAAACATGAACGTAGCTTGATTACTGCTGATTCACCACATCGTTGAAACCAACACATCGTTTATGACAAACTGTGGATTGGGAAGTAACGTTATTAGCTAACAAGTCACACATACAGCTACATACGCTACAGCTACACATACGTGATAACGCATCGGGAATTTGGGACTTGAGGATATTTATCGTTATAATGTCGCTGCCTAAAATATTGAAACCGTACGCTGACCTGCCGGTAGTTTTTCTTCTCTTCTATGTGTAACGGGTGACACAGACTCTGGTTTTACAGATACAGAAGGTTTTCTAAATCAAGTTCAACTTTAAGCACTTTAATTCTTTAGGATCCCAAATACAGTAGTCGAGGCCACCGGTCATTACCTTGTCAGTTTATTATGTACACCTGGCAAAACTAATAACAACCCTGCAAAAATTCCTTCCTCATTAAACTTGAAACTGTTTTTTTGTCGTGTTGATTCAGTATTATGGTAACATTCGAGGTTGTAGTTTTTTTTTTTTTTAACCTAATTTCTGTCAGTTAGGGTGAACTAAATGTTACAGTTCAACAGCACCTCAAACTAAAACACATTTTTAGTGTACATAAAATGGGACTATGGTGCGGGGAAATGTTTCTTTTAATTTAAAATATCATCATTAGTTTGTCCATCAGCATGCTCCATTGTTTACAAATGTCTTCTCCTGGGATTGCAGTGTGTGTTAAGAATTATACATTTATTTTTTAAGTTTAAAATTATGCCTTCAGTGCTTACATTTGTTAAGACACATTTGCTAAATCAATTTAAGGGATCCATGCTAAGCATGCTCAAACTCATGTGTGGAACTGCTGCCTGTGCAGCTCAACAACAACAGACATGCATCATGTGTACAATAACATCAACAGGCATGTTCTTGAATATTTGTGTTGACATATCAGTGGTCTGGAGTTAACACGGCTTTAACTTGCCTTGATTAAAAAATACATTAAATATTAAGTTGACAAAAACTAGAGGAACCATAGGTGTCAAGTCAGAGGTTATTCAGGGAGGAAGGTGACAGGTCATGATTTTGAAATTGAATGAATCAAGTTTGCACTGATGTAATTGAGTTTTTTAACATTCTAGTATTTTATTTTATGTTACATGATGTTTGTATATCAGGGCCATGTTGGAAATACGTTTTTATGTCTTGTTCTCCCATTAGATTGGTGTGTTTTGTTATCATAAATAAATATAAAGAAATCAAAAATGCCATTAAAAAAACTTGCCCTTCAACCCATTTACTCTAACAGAATTTCTTTAATCCCAAATATCAGTGTTGTCATCAGCCCCATATGTCCAAAATGCACACAACATTTTCAGCAATACTTTGAACTTGTTACAGAACATTCATGTGTGGCTGGTCATAATGTTGTCAAGTCTATGATCCAAAAATTAAAGTTGCGTACATCTCATGGACATGTGGAGTGATACAGACATTGTTGACATGTTGACAGGTGGTGGGAGAGTACGGCATGGCCCATTTCAGTGACAAGGGCAAGAGCAAAGGAAAGGATTACTGCATATTCTTCAACTCACAGTGGGCACGTCTACCTCAGGACCTCAATAAGGCAGTAAGTCACGAGAAAGATGTGATCAAGTCTTTTGTAAGCAATAATAATATTGACTCTTTGAAAATAATTTCTCACAAACTGCTTCACATGTGTGACAAACAACAGTGGAGATAAACTACAGTATGCACTTCTTTGTAGTTGATCAATAAATTCTATTTTAGGAAGTCTCACACACGGTGCTGAAATCTGATCTCCACTCTTAGTGCCTGTTAGGACTCGCTTGTTTCTGAACTAGCAGTGAATGTTGGCGTGAAATGAGTTCCTGTAATTCGCTCGTATTACAGTTTGCAGGTATTATAAAATAAATAAAAACTCAAGTATTTAGTACACAAGTTTTTAAAATTCATACAGCCCTTATCAAAGACCAGACTGCATCTTTGCTGCAACAGACATGATCCAGCTCTTTTTCATTGATTCAAGAAGCATTTTTTCTCAGTTATATCCAGCCGCACAAAAAAATGTGTGTCATTTGCAAGATTTTTATTTTATTTTTTATATTAATGTTAAGTGTTGAACCATGAAAGGATCCAGCTCTGGTTAACATTGCATACCTTTTGTTTTAAAGTCGCGTCTTCAGATCTACGACCTGACGACATCGGTCTTGTGCTTGCCCTCTGATGTCCCGGAGGGAGGCTTCCCAAATCGCATTCCCATGGTGATGAGAGGCAACTGCACTTTTTATGAAAAGGTTCGGCTGGCCCAGCTTAATGGCGCCAAGGGCCTACTTATTGTCAGCAAGGACAGACTGGTAACCCTGCTTTATAACTATAACCATCTTAAGGCGGTTGCTTATAGTCATTGTGCATCAAGATTAAATGTTTATTTATTTATTCTTTTTAAATTACAGACACCTCCAGCAGGAAACAAGACTCAATATGAGGAGATTGACATTCCTGTAGCGCTGCTCAGCTACTCTGATATGCTGGACATCAGTAAGGTGAGAGGACAGCCACCAGCCATTATAAACAGTAGACAAACAAACCCACTGTGTCAGTGTTTCTCTTCCTGATCAGTCAGCAAAGTCAGTTAGCTTGAACATGATGTAAATATTTCACTTTGGGTTAGTTGACAAGCGGGAAAACAATGGTTCTTGCTATATGTAAAATAATGAATGGTTGATGGGAATCTACTAGGGAGTTTCATACAGTATGTACTGATTTAACAACATTTTTGGCTTTGACCTAACTTAATGCAGTTTCTAACTCCTGCAGACCTTTGGTAAAGGAAGACTGGTTGCCATGTACGCACCCAATGAGCCGGTGTTGGACTACAACATGGTGATCATCTTTTTGATGGCAGTAGGAACGGTGGCTATTGGAGGTTGCTGGGCCGGCAGCAGAGACAGCAAGAAGTAAGTGGACACAATGAAGGAAAAGAGTTGGAAACTGACATTTAATGTGGGTGATCTCTCCATTATTTTAAAGGCGTAGTTGGCAAGTGTCATACACAGAAACAACTACAAGCAGTGATATACTGGAGGGTAAATTCATTAAAGCTTTTATTTATCAGAATAGAGGATGTCAATTAATTTACGTCTTTTAAGGGACTAACATAGTAATTGATTGCCAACGACAATGCAGGTTGTAGTGTACAGTTTACCTGACTTTGTACTTTCCACTTCATCACATTATTACAGGACACAAAGTTTACCCCTGCCTGTGCATACCACGCTTTTAGTCCCGGCTGCTGAATTTAAATCCTAGTTAATTTATCGGGGAAGTCATCTCTGGGAGAAATTAGTCACCGTTTTCTTGGCAAAGCCCTACAAGTGTACGATTGCTCCGTCTTGTCTCTTAGAGGAGAGTGTATTCGTCTCTTCATTTCCAACCAAGCAGTCTGCATTGGACTCCACTAAAGGGCACTGTTGTTTATTTGAGGCCGTGTGAGTGACTCACCGACTTGAGCCAACCCGAGTCCGTCCTTCCTGACGGAGTTGCCAGGGCAACTGAGGGCATAGTCGGATGGGGTCTCTGACGCACAGCACCACAGGCTAAAAACATTTTGGAATAGGAGTGTGTTTTGAACTCGGGAAGTGGAAGTGAGGCCAGCAAGCCAGCTGCATTATGGTAAATATTGACTGTGGATGGTAGGATGATCATCTGTCTGCTTTGGAAAGTCACCAACCATCAGTGAATACTGTTTAATAAAACAAATAAAAGACAAAACCCAAGAGGCTGGCTAACTGCTGACTGTGTTGCTTAAAAATCTGGCACAAGCGTGCTCAGATTCTGATCACTAGTCTTTCTGAGCCCCAAACAAGTCGCCTCAGGTCAGCACGACTCTCTGAATTTCGTGTCTCCTCCTGCAGACGCTACATGAAGCACAAACGGGACGACGGCGCGGAGAAGCTGGATGAGGAGACGGTAGACATCACGCCCATCATGATCTATGTGTTCGTGGTCATGTGCTGCAGTATGCTGGTGCTACTCTACTTTTTCTATGACCAGCTGGGTACGACAAATACACTCACACATCTTGATCTGAGCACATAATATAACACTCAATACGCCGGTCTTGATCAAAAGATACTTGTTCACGTTTTGTTTAAAAAAGAAAAAGCTCTGTGGTCAGATCCAGTTTTATGTGACCAACATATTAATTTGCTGTGTGGGGGATGGTTTGCCTCTCAAAGCCAGTCTGTAATTTTCCCCTCACTCATTGTGGTCTGGCATGGCTCAGTAAGGCATTTACTTTGGATACAGTGATGTGAAGAAGATGGCCGACAATGTTTTCCTTGTGTGACAAATAATCTCAACTCAAGGTTCACTTGCTAGCCTTTTCTGAGCTTTCAACCACATCACGCAGGCTTCCTTATTTACCTTGACTGAGACATCCGCACAAGACCTTTCCACACCTGATTACATAAGCGCACCACTTACTAGGCTGTCTTTTGTCTTTTCTAATGTCTGAACTGGATAAATATAGATGCTATTTTGGAAACATTGTCAAATTCTTCTTATAAGTCGTCCCTTGATACTAAAACATATTTAAAGGAAGAAGTAATGCTGTTGCAGAAGTGTGCTTTAGTTTGTAACTACAATGCCCAGTTTAAATCATAGTCGACGTAGATGTAAGGCTCCACAGTATGTCTAATATGGTCTTCATTTACATTACATTTACTCATTTGGCAGACGCTTTTATCCAAAGCGACTTACATTTGAGGAACAACATACAAGCATCAACAGAGCATCAAATACAGATCTACAACTGACAATACATACTAGTAAGAGCAGCAATAAGTACTAGTAAGAGCTCATAGTACATATTACATCAATGGGGTAAATACCTAGGGAAGGAAGTAAGAGTTAACAAAAAGGTGCAATCAATACAAGATCATTGTAGGGGATAGAAGAAGAAGAACACAGGACGTGCATGTTAGAGGTTAGGAGTTAGAGGTGTTATAAGAGGAAGTGTTCTCAGAAGAGATGAGTTTTCAAGAGCTTCTTGAAGTTAGAGAGGGATGCCCCTGCTCTGATGGCGTGTGGTAGCTCGTTCCATCATTGTGGTGTCACAGATGAGAATAGCCGGGACTGGGATTGCTTTGTGTGAAGGGATGGCAGATCCAGGTGGCGTTCGCTGGAGGAGCGTAGCGGCCGAGAAGGAACGTGAGTTTGTATTATGGAGTTTAGGTAGATGGGTGCAGACCAAGTAGTCACTCTGTATGTAAGCATTAGTGACTTGAATTTGATTCTGGAGGCCACGGGGAGCCAATGGAGGTCACTGAGTAATGGAGTGACATGAGTCCTTTTGGGCTGATCAAAAAACAGACGCGCTGCTGCGTTCTGAACCATTTGTAAAGGTTTCACTGCACAAGCTGGAAGACCTGCTAGGAGGGCATTGCAATAGTCGAGGCGAGAGATAACCATGGCCTGTACCAGAAGCTGGGTGGCGTACTGAGTGAGGTAGGGCCTGATTTTCCTTATGTTGTATAGAGCAAAGCGGCATGACCGAGAGACAGTAGCAACATGGTCTGAAAAGGACAGCTGGTCATCCATCATGACACCGAAGTTTCTCACCACCCTGGTTGGAGTGATGGTTGAGGAGTCAATTTGTAGTTTGATGTTATGGTGGATAGATTGCTTGGCTGGAATGACCAAGAGTTCAGTCTTAGAGAGGTTTAGTTGAAGGTGGCAAGCCTTTATCCATGCAGAAATATCCGAGAGACAGTCTGTGATCCGTGCTGAGACGGTGGGATCGCCTGGCGGGAAGGATAGGTAGAGTTGCGTATCGTCTGCGTAGCAGTGGTAAGAGAAGCCGTGCGAGCGAATGATCGGCCCCAGTGAGGTGGTGTAAATTGAAAAGAGAAGGGGCCCTAGCACTGAGCCTTGGGGCACCCCTGTGGAGAGGCAGTGGGAGGAGGATAATTGTCCTTGCCACAAAACATTGTAGGAACACCCTGAGAGGTAGGATTCGAACCACAGGAGTGCTTTACTCGAGATGCCCATTGCTGAGAGAGCGGATAGCAGGATCCTGTGGTTGACTGTGTCAGAGGCAGCTGATAGGTCAAGCAGGATAAGAACCGAGGATTGGGCTGCAGCTTTAGCTGACCTTAGGGCTTCCGTTACAGACAGAAGAGCCGTTTCAGTAGAGTGGGCACTCTTAAAACCAGGATATGGATCTAGGAGGTCATTCCGTGAGAGGAATTCTGAGACCTGTTTGAATACTGCCCGTTCAATAGTTTTGGATAAAAATGGTAGAAGAGACACTGGTCAATAGTTCTCAACTTGAGTTGGGTCAAGTGAGGGCTTTTTGAGCAAGGGTGTAACCCGAGCCCTTTTGAAAGTGGTCGGGAAGGTTCCTGAAGCCAGAGAAGTATTTATTACATGAGTGATTGTCGGGACCGCGTTAGGAGATATGGCTTGGAGGAGAATCATAGGAATCGGGTCCAGTGGGCATGTAGTTAGACGGCTACGGGTCAAGAGTTCTGATACTTTGCTCTGTGAGAGGAGTAAACGAGGAGAGTGAACAACCACTGACCTGGGAGGGCAGAGGGAAAGATGTAGTAGGACTGATACAATGGCTGAGTTTGAATGTTTCCGAGAATTTTTTTTGCCTGTGAAGAAGGCAGCAAAGGTATCAGCAGACAAGTTTGTGGGTGGTGGCGGTGCAGGGAGGATTTAGTAGCGCTTTAAAAGTGGAAAATAATTTCCTTGAGTCAGTGGCACTGCTAATTCTGTTATTATAGCTTCTGCTCTACCGTCCCTTCAGCTGCAGAGAAGCAGGATTTAGAATCAGAAGGTTGCTGGTTAAAGGCCCAGACTATCAGAGCAAATCTTGGATTACAAAGTGAACTAATAACTCTTCCATTTAGCTGGACTGTAAACTCAAAATTCCTCAGGCAGCTACACTTTATCCTCATTTCCTCTAGCAGGGGCTGCTCAGTGTCCAGCATTATCTCCTTGTGAGTGGCCGCGCTGTGAAAGAGCTTAATGGCTCAGATAACAGTTCCCTGATAAATAGATTAAAAGACTGATTGCTGATAGACTGTTTAGCATCTTTGATCAGCTGATGTACATTCAGCCAGCGCACGAAATACCGGACACACATGGGTGAAACTGACTATTCAAATATTTAAGGACTGACTTTGTTAAGAAGCAAAAAGAATGCATTTCCTCAAAAGAATATGAGTGGATATCATACGGCAATCATGTACTAATCTCCTGCCTGCCTCCACTGTTTCCTCACTGTTTAGCCATTTGGGTCATAGCCATCTTCTGTGTGGCCTCCTCAGTCGGCCTCCACAGCTGTCTGTGGCCTTTTGTCAGGAGACTTCCTTTCTGCAAGTGCAGGTGAGACTGTTCACGTCAATGTGGTTTCATAATGCTCGCCGCTGAGAAGTCTAATAGGTCTTTAAGCTTTGTTTGCAATTGTACTTGTTCAAGAGGTCTTGGGTTCAGTTCCCAGCACCTCCATTTATGTTATGACCCAGCACTCTAGGGGAAAGTGAAGCAACATAAAACCAGAGGGATTTGGTAGAATAAATTTAGTAATAAGTGAATAGGTTAGTAATCAAATTGCATGGATTGGATGAGGATGAGGGGGAAAAAAGGAGGCAATCTACAAAGGAAAAGAGGCCAAAGGTTGCTTCTTAAATCAGATAAATGAATACAACCAGAAGAGGACTCCTAACTTGGAGACTTCAAACAAGGTTTACCCGACTCTGGCCTGCCCTACATATAACTGTCCAAAAGTAAAAACATGTGAAGCAGCACCACGGCTGCTGGTGTTTCTAAACATAGGATTTCTGAGCGTGTGTGCTTTCACTGAAAGACGGACTCGGCCTAATGCCCAGGGAGGTAAGTGAGTGCCTCACATTCAAATTAAAGCCAAAGTGTAATCTCTGCAGTAGTATAGTCAATTATTTGCGTAACTTACAGTTAGAATTTATATATACCTGAAACTTATTTGGTCAAAGATAGAGCTAGGGCACCAAAGTATACTTTTAGGCATGTAATTATTGTGAATGGTTATTCTGGAAAAAAAAAAAAAAAAGCTGTATACTGTTGATATGAGATGTCTTTATTATGATTATATTTATTGATTTGTGGACCATCTTTTGACCACAGGGTCCCAGAGAACAACTTGCCATACTTGCACAAACGGCCGCAGATCCGCATGTTGCTGCTGTCAGCCCTCTGCATCGGTGTCAGCATCACCTGGATGGTGTTTCGCAATGAAGACCAGTAAGTGCAAAGAGAAGAGTGTCAAGTGCACACACAGGCTACGACAACATGCATGATGGGAAATATGTTACTGTGGTGCCTTCCGAGAGTTTCATAAAGCCAAAATACCAGTTAAACAAGGTTTATTTTCAGGAAATTCTGCCACCTGTGTGAGTTAGTCCATCCTGGAAGAAATCTTGAAATACACAAAGCATTACAACAGTGTTGTAATTTAGGCTGCATATGCACTAAAATTAATTTGATTTATATTAAAAAAGACGGTATTTGCATTTGTAGATAAGGGTATTTTTAGTTGATTTCAGTGTTTGCCTGCACTAGAACTGTTACAATTAATCAAATAAATTGATTTGTTGTGATAATCAATTCAAGGAAGATTTTAAGGAGGGAATACATGTCTAAATTCTTTGATTCCAGCTTCTTAAATGTGAATATTTTCTGTTTTCTTTACTCCTCTGACAGTAAACTAAATATCACTAGTAGAGGACAAAACATGACATTGGAGGACCATTTTCTGACATTTTACAACTAATCAATTAAACGACACTGAAAAGAATCATTAGTTGCAGCCTACACCCAACAATATTGGTTAAATAGCACATGTACTCCATTGTGGATGTTGATTCCTCGCTTTGTGTCAGATGACGTAATGTTGGAATTTTTCTGTGTGTGGTAACATGTTGGAGGTACATTACATGATGGTGGTGTGGGCTGACTCGCAGTCTTGTTATGTATCCTCCAGGTGGGCGTGGGTGTTACAGGACGCCCTGGGGATCGCCTTCTGTCTCTACATGCTCAAAACAGTCCGACTCCCCACATTTAAGGTGGGTTGGCACACTCAAAAACATGAGACGCATCACACAACAATGTGGAAAATGTCTTTTTAAGGTTTTAATTGTGTTTCACTGAACAATAATAATAATAAATGTTTGTCTTATGTACTGTCTTAGTTGTAAACTCACCTGATTTTTATTTTTCTGTCTCTGTTCTGCAGGCTTGCACCTTGCTGCTGTCTGTTCTTTTTGTCTATGATGTTTTCTTTGTATTTATTACACCATTCTTTACAAAGGTAAGTGTAGACATCATGTTATCACGCTATTCAAATGTCAGTGTTTCCTACAGAATGACTTAACTGTGGTGGGGTCGACGACGAGGTGGGTGGGCAGCAGGGTATATTTCTGCTATATTTCTAGTATTTCTACTTTGTTCTCCACCTTGTGTTAGTGTTTACTCACTACTTGTAGCAGGTGCGCTGCATGTGGAGGAGGCTTGTTAAATGACATAGCCTATTGAAACCAATGTGGTACCGAATGACATCTGCACTGGTGTGTTCACTGTTGCTTTACCTGGTCCGTGCTTATAAATACCCACCGTGTCCGCATCTTGTAACTTAATACCAGATAACCATGGCCATTTCTCCACAGAGTCGGCAAAGTATAATGGTGGAGGTAGCGGCTGGTCCCTCTGATTCCTCCACACATGAGAAGGTGAGTTTGCTTTCAAATTCCTCAACTCCCTTTGGATGGGGTGAGGTTTAGTCTAGTTGTAGAAACTCTTGCACCTCCAACTCATAATGCCTCTCAGCTCAGAGGTGTTTGATATAAACACTAATGTTTGTGTTTCCTCCAGCTTCCCATGGTGCTCAAAGTGCCGCGGTTAAACTCCTCTCCCTTGGCTCTTTGTGACCGGCCCTTCTCCCTCCTGGGTTTTGGAGATATCTTAGTACCAGGTAATTAACGGTGTCATCAAACCACAAGGAACACAAACTGCTTAAAGCTCATTGTCATATTTATTTATAGAGCACTTTTCAAAATCCATGTTACAAAGTGCTTCACATAGGCAGCAAAACACAAGTCACAAACAATCAGGTTTAAAAAGAAAACAATAACAGAAAGAAGAGAGGCCGTGAAGAGCCTTTAAAGTAATTAGTAACATTTTATAATCTATTCTAAAACATACTGGGAGCCAGTGTATAGAGGCTGAAACAGGAGTGATGTGATCTTGTTCTTGGTTCTGCAAAAACCACAGTCACCTATTTAGTCTGTCCTTGGGGCAGAAACCATTCCTGTGGTTGGCAGCTAGGTTAACACAGAACTGCTCAACACCCACACTTTTTATGGCTAATGCTTTTAATGCTAACTGCACATTACAAGACTTAGATCTCACAGAGAAAGTGTAAAGTAAAGAGCAGGGAATCACTGCAGTAACTCAAATAATTAAGGTTGTGTCCTACGCCTGGGTACGATGAAAGATGGCTGAATACGGTAGTTTCTCTTGCTGATTGTTCTGATTGCCTCTTTTTTTTTTCTGGCAGGTCTGCTGGTGGCGTACTGTCACAGGTTTGACATTTTAACACAATCCTCCAGGATCTACTTTGTGGCCTGTACAATCGGTACGTACATGGGCGGGGGCCTTATGAAGGTTGTAATTAGTCAGATGTTGCTGTAGTCTCATGAGAGAGTTGCGGAATAAAATAATACAGGATGTGGTCTGTAATAGACTTACATTATTAAATGTAGCAGATGTTATTAATTAACATTAATGAGCATTTACAGGGTCTCGCTCTCCTGATGTCTACAAGTATTGATTCCCAAATAAGTATTTGTTGGTGTTAACATGTTTGTATCAGATTACCAAAAACATTTGACTTCCTCCATTTTCACACTAAAGTTAAATTTCACACTAAAAAAAAGAAGTATAAATTAGTTAATTAATTAATTCCTGCAGAAACCCCCCTCCCCTGCACACTAACATACAAGGACGTCGCTCAGGACCAGCTGGTTAGCAGAAACACTGTAGGTAACTGCAGCTGTAATTATTGCTCGGATGGGATTAAAATCACTGAGCAGCGCATGCAATGTTAAAATCCCTGTTAAAAACTATTGGCTTTGAAAATGTTGACCTCGTGTGTGCCGTCTCTCTCTCACTCTCCTGTCAGCTTATGGCATCGGCCTGCTGATCACCTTTGTGGCGCTGGCCTTGATGCAGATGGGTCAGCCAGCCTTGCTCTACCTGGTGCCTTGCACTCTGCTCACCAGCCTCACTGTAGCACTTTGGCGAAAGGAGTTGCCCCAGTTCTGGACTGGAAGTGGATTTGTGGTGAATACCAGTTTGATATGACTGCCTACCTACCGCCGAAGAACAAGACTTACAAAAAAAAAGCAACAAAAGAAAAGACAAAAACATCTAGTTAAATAACATGCAGAGTAAAGTAGAATTTTAAGTTGAGTAACCCCTTTAAATAATTCCATCCGTTCCAACTGCCTCTTTCTGTTTCACTGTCCCCTCCCATCGCTGCTCCTTGCCCTTTATTTTACTCTGGGTGTGCTCTAGTCTGCTGCTGAGGGCTCAGCTGTCTGTGAATGTCACTGCAGGTATTCTATCTGGGCTCGCTACTTCACACTACCATTAAAACATCCTGATCTTAAGGTTCCTTTTTCGTTTGTCGTACTTCCCTTAAGAGGAGGTGTTTGTTTTCATTTTTTCCTGCATACACACATCTGTAAAAGACTAGTGGTAAACAACTAATGAAGCTATTGTTTTTTTTGATACGCTTCCCCTTTCTTTATGCACATATGGGACTTTATCTCTGTGTACAGGAATACCTCTGACAACATTAAGAATAAAGACTGCTTTAATCGGGTAAAGTGATGAAAAACAACCCATTCATTTAGCCTCAAATCTACCTGTGGACAGAGGAATGCCTGTATATTCTTTGGTTTTGTTTGTCTTATCTACGGCTATTCTGTCTTCTGTTATTATGAGTACATTTGGTTCTCCGCTCGACACAATTCAGCCATCTTATATAGAATTTGTTTTTGTCCCCTGCAGCCTGCCATAGTGCTCACACCGATCAACTGTACACAAACCGCAGCACCGCAGATTGAGGGGCCCTTGACTAAACCAGAGTCACAAACCACAGAAGCCCCCAATCAGAGCGGAGACTCACCACGGCAACCGCTACAGGAAACACCCCCAGCTGAGAAAGATGAAGGGGAAAACAAATCTGACTGAAAGGACGTCTACTACAGCAATTAACAATTCACTTTTATTTGTTGAGTATTTTTTTTTTTTATTCCTACATTGTGTCTCGGTCAATGGACACAAAGTACGGAAGTTAATTTGCATTTGGTGCGAAGATTGGTGTTTTCTGAATGGCCAGCTCAGCCGGAAACCAGGACACATGAGGTCGAAGCATTTAAACTAACACACCAAGTATAAAACCTGTACAGCTGCCCCAAAATACAGTCTGTACGACCTCTAAAGGGAATGAAAATACAAATCTGGAAGCTGTATACAAGTTGTTCAACACTAAAAAACAAAAACACACGGAGCTGAAGCTCTTAAAGGCCCAGTCACACCAGTGTTTAATTTGCGGCAAAATCAATTAATTTTAATGGAATCAGTGCGATGAGTGAGCCGTTCACAGGGGAGCTGTATATGTATGATATTTCTTTCTAATCTGTAGCATTTCTTAAAATCAAAAATGGCCAGAGATTTGTAGGTTCCAGGAGGATTTGAAGCTGTCATATGTGAAAACAAACTCAGTATATTTTGGGCTGTCAGCTTGGGCTCTAAGAAACTGTAACACTTTATCAAATGGCACAATGTACAATCCTGAGTACGAAATGCCAGGAGGGAGTTAACGGCCCATTACTTGAATGCAATCGAAGTCGGAGTAAAAAGCCTGTAAATCACAGAGAGGACTGAGATGCAGTGAAGCGCACAAATGGAGAAAACGCTTCTGGACAAGCTCTCCTTGAAGGCATCCCAAGCAGGCGTGAAAATGAAAAAATTTGTCTAACTAGTCCAGTGTCGCGAAGGTGCAGGAGAAGGCAGGTTTCAGACACTTCATTTGAAGCATATGAAGGAGACCCTTATTCCCAAAAGCAAAACACTATATAAGAAGCAGTCTTTATTTCCCCCTACATTAGATTATAAACTACCAGTCAGAATATAAAGTGCAGCAGTGAAGAGTTTCACACCCTTTATAATGTGGCGCCATCGTGGTTGTTGACTGAGCCAAAACTATTAGATTTTTTTTAATTTGAGCTTTTTTACTGAGGCATGTTTTCTCATTTTACTTTTTAGTATTTTTTTTTGTATGCTATTATTTAGATTTTACCCTTTACATATGAAAAAATAAATTAAACCAGTGTATAGTCTATGTAGTGCAGACTTGACATACATTATTGGTGGTGCGACAGTTAAAACGTTGGCTGCCACAGATGTGTTCCCCCAGTAGTTCCTCATATTGTCTTAAGAATTGGTTATGGCCTTAAATGTGTCAGTGTTGGGAGGTTACAGCCGAATGTGTCACGTGTAAAAGTTGCTTTATGAAAAACAAGAGTACTGTACTCTAAATGATGTGCTGCAGTTTAATGTGTGAGCTGAGGATTCAGTGACTGGTTACGTTATCAATATTCATAGATTAGTTTGTATGAAGCATTTGCACAATATTTTTGAATTTGTGGGCTGACAGGAGTCGTTGGTTTCTTTTTGTATATGTTTATGTATACTCTTAAGAGTTTAAAAGAAACGGCCACTAAGGTGTCCATATATCCAATATTCATTCTGCTTTTGTTTTACAAGTCCATTTCTGACCCGAGGTTGTCCTCTTAAAACATCAGTGCCCAGCAGTCACATCACCCTGTTCAGCAGTAAACATAAATTTCTGATTCTCATTCATTTATGATGCCTATTAAGAACAAGTTCAGAGTTTGTGTAGAAATGGAGTTCAAAAGGTAAAAAAATAAATAAAAATTTGGTTCCAGGACCCGAAATTATTCATTCACCATTATAGTTTGTTGTCACCAAGTGGTTTTTAATACCTCTGTTGGGGAATACATGTAATAAAGAAACCTTGTATCTGATATTTGGTGTGTTTTGTTTTTGCTGCACACAGAAATTAAAAAAGGTTTTGGTTTGTTTGAATGGCTTTAAAAAATAAAAATAAAGTCCTCAGCGGCTTCGCTCAGGATGCCATCTGTTAGCTTCTGGGTTTGTTGATGCCTAAACACAATTCATCCCCTCGCAGTGGTTTCTGAGTCTGAATGTGTCTTTTCATCGTGGCCCTCCAGCTGTGAAAAAGGTCAACGTCAGAGATAAACAGCAGTCTGACAAAGAGCCTCCTTGTTGCTTCAGCTCAGTCACTCAGAGTGGAGGGCTCACTCTCTTATCCAACATGCCATTTAGTGGACGAGTTTGCACAGAGCACCTAACAGCACCACGTATGCCCGCTCGCACACTACTAACATTTGTAAGGGATGAACTACATGAAGGCACCTATTTATTTAACAAGGGAAATTAAGTCATCTACCTTTGAATGAAGAACTAAAAAAAAATACTTGTATCAACAAGTTTAATATTTAAAGGCCAACAATAGCTGGGTTTGTCAGTCTTTATGCAGTATTATTATCTTGTGCACAAAATAAAAAATCTTTTAGGGCTCTGGGGGATTAGTACAGTCTGCCCTCAAAGAGGAGGTTGTCTTTGAGTGATCTGAAATAGACAGCCTGATGCGTCATTCATGACGAACAGTCGGGAGGCTTAATAACACTAAGTGAGAGCCCCTAACCCATCCCTCCTATTCATTCTGGCTATCCTAACATAGATCTGATTTATATTCTAAAGTTAATGAGGCTTCAGATTTGGGTTTTCTTTAGCAACAATTGAAGTCAATCCACAAAAACAACAACAACAACAACAACAACCCCTCAATGCTGTCAACCATATTTTTATTCCTTCATGAAGTTTTACATGGAACCAAAAAGGTGATAGTGGTCAATCTGAAAATTTGTTAAATTATGCCATAACATTATTTAAATGACACTTATGTTATATTTTCAAAGCTGTCGGTCTGAGGCAAAACTGCTAATATTGTGTCGTGTCACTTTCTCCAGTCATGAAGAGCAGAAAACAGCTGATAGTATTTACAAATAAAAAGCTTACAGTCAAAATGTAGTTCACACACCCAATTAAGTGTTCATTACAACACATACTGAGGACCATAGTACAAATTTAAAGGTTATTTGGCAAATACACAGCGTCAAGATCAATTCTTAAATTAAAAAGAAAGATTAAGAGTTAGGACATGAGTGCTAAACTGTTAAAGATAACCTACTTTCATTTAAAATAAAAAATTAATTTTTTTTAAAAACTTCCCATAAAAGTCTTTGGTAAAGTCTTTTGTTTTTGCAACATGTTCATTTAAAATATTATCTTTCCCAATGGGCAAATGGGCAGAGCTTTATACATTTTTTGAACAACTTCAGCTAACAAGTTTAGCTAATTTGCAGAGAGCTGTTTGTTTCCAGTGATAAAATTCCATAACAGTGACAGCCTTCTTCATGCTGGACATACATGGACATCATGAAATCATGTCCAATGTCTCCCAACTTTCCATGTAGGTCTTTATGATTGACAAGGCCTCATTCCAACTCCAGTCTGTAGTTTAGGATTAAAGGAGTACTACCTTCTGTTTGCCTGTTTTGAGAATATCTTTGGGAAAAGGAGGCGGCACCGGTGGTGGATCTTCGCTCCTGCTTGCCTTGTGTGCGCTGAAGGACTGAGATGGTTTCACATTCCGGGGAGATTCCAGTGGGTTGAAGGCACCTGCAGGTAGAAGGAAAAAAAATAGGTATGTAAAATTACAGCAACACCTGACAATTATAATCTCAACTCCCATCTCTGTACTGCATGAGTTTAAAGTTCGATTATAACATACATACAGTATGATCAGAGATACATTTGTGCAAAAATACACTGAAGCTACTTGCTGGAATTTTTTTATTATGCTGCTTATAATAAGACTTTTCCTGATTTGTGGTTGGTAAACTCATCAAATCTGTGCTGTTCTGACAAACTTCCTCTCTCATGTTTGGCAGGTTGCAGATTCTCCACAAAGGGTGAAGCTGTAACAAGCTCTACAACATGCAACACACACAGGAAAGGAAACAAACAGACAGCAGCAGCAATTTAGACCTGCAGATGTAGACGCGTTGATGTCGCCACCTACAGGCGTAGAGTTGTATCACATCTTAGCTAAAATATAATTAATCAACGGAACAGTATTGTAAATTCATTAATTTATTTCTCTCCAAAACAGCTATGAACAAGGCTTTAATTAAGCTTTACCAGACACTTGACCATGGGAGTGCAAGCTGTCTGCAAAAATAGTAACTTCAAGCAATTTTACTCTAAGTTTTCTTACACACCGTTACAAAAACACTTTTCAGCAAGATAGACAGAATTACACATATACACTAGCTAAAAACAAAGCCTCCCTGAGTGCAACAGAGGCTGCCATCTGTGGCGCCATCTTGCTTAAGTAACACAAGTTCAGAGTTCAATTATTCAACACTAAAAATAGACTTTGGTCGACCTACATTGCTTATAGTATATATTTAAAATAAATTTGGATCTCTCATATGGGATTGTATGTAGGGGTGATGTGAGTGAGGAGCCACTTCTTGTTGATTGTCTATACCCGACTTGTAGACGCTCTGATGACCTCCGTTCCTTTTGGCTCTCAGACTGCCTCCTTCTTTCCCAGTCACTCGGATAGGTAGCACCTGGTTCACGTCTATATTGGCTAGATGTGGAAAGACAGGATTGGGGTCAGTGTTGGGGTTTTACAATTTGAATAATGTCCTTTTTGAAGCAGTTGTAAACTTGCATGCAACCCTGCAAGTTGACACACTAACCAAATCTTTCAGGCATTTGAATCTGTAGGATTGCCATTTGCTAACTGTAATGCGAACAACTGACCCACTGCTGCTGATGAAAAATGTTTCAAACTAACAAATAATGAAATGAGACACTTTTGGGCACCGTCTGCAAATGGGTCTCTCTCTAAAGACATGAACATCTGCGGATTTGTTTCTAAAGTCTCTTGTATTGTGAAAGCATGGTTTATAAAAACTTTGAGAAAAAAAAAAAAAAACAACCCACCAAAGATTTTAAACTCAACATGATCTAGCGATGTTTAACAGGCCCGTATCCTGACCTGCGCTGTGAGTTCTCTGGTGGGTACGCTTCGGCTTGTGGCCCTTCTCCTTTCCCTTGGGCTGAACAGCCAGCTTGGCTGGGATCTGCTGCTGCACGGGCACAGGCTTGTGCACCTGGTTGGTGGTGCTGATCAGTTGGATGGGCAGCTCGGACTTGCTGGCTGGCTTTTGAATCATGCTCTCTTTGCGCAGTGGAACCTTTGGAGGAACTTCCGTGGAGTCTGCGATGGGGGGCAAGACCTGGATCTTTGGAGGTAAGGTCCCACCCCCGTTCACTATTCTTCCACTGAACGACTGGTAACTGGCCAGACTCCAGTGCTAGAGGAGAAGGAAGAAATACATAACTCAAAATCATCTGAAATGAACTTCTCTCACCTTTGACTTCTAACTGTGAAGAATAACTTCACCAGTGCTCGTTTCTGACACTGTATTTTATAACAAAACTGTAATACTTCTGTAGTTTTCTTTTATTATTTTAACATTTAAATTCATGTTTTAAAATGCACTGTAAGTCAACACCATTGTCAAGCTGCTCATTAAAAGTGTCAATGTTAAATCAAGGCTCAAGTTAGTCCTGATTATCTTGTTTAGAAGATTTGAAACGTCTTATTATATAGACTTTTCTGACTTTGATGTTTCCTGACAAGATATTTGTCAATACATTTAAAATTTCAGTGAGCATAGTAAACTCATGGATATTTGAATATGTAATAATGTTAATAAACAATCAGATTCCCATCCTATTCCTCACTTTAGAAGAATCATCATAGTTGGGGTATCCTGGGTTTGGGATGTTCTTCTTTATTTTCTCCTGCAGCTGCTCCAGCCGCACCCTCTCTTGATTTAGACGCTCCTTGTCCTTGTCTACGGATTTTGTAGACTCCCTCAGCCTCTCCAGGTCTTGCTGATAGTTTTTCTTCAGCTCCTCCAGCTCTGCCTTCTCTTGACTGAGCTTCTCCTCCCACTTTCGGCACTCCTCCTCCCTCTGTTGCAGCTGAGCCTCCAGTGTCTCGATCTGCACCTTCTGCCGCTCCCTATCCTTCTCCCAGCGCTGCTGCTCCTCTCGATACTGGGCCTGCATCTTGTGCATGTTGATAACTTCTTCCTTCTGCTTCTCCAAGCTGCGCTGCTTCTCCTGCTCGAGCAGTTCGCTGCTGTAATGACGAGCGGGCTGCTTGCTCTTTGACTGAAAAGTGTGCTGCAGCTCAATCCGGCTGTCCTGCTGGGCAATGACTGCCTGTGTGTTGAAGAATTTAATGTATGACAGTGAAAAATAAAATATAACATAGGCAAAACATACAAAGTATTGTTGTGGTAGAAAACTAATGGAATTCTTCTCACAAATCTCACATTTAGCTTCAAACATTTAGACAAAAGCAAAAAATGTAGACACTTTGCAAGAAACTTGTAGAAATGTCTTACTTGTAAGCTGTACAGTCTCTGTGCAAGCAGTATCACCCTGTCATACAACTACAAAGAAAAAGAATAATGCAAACGAAAAGTACTGCAGTAGCCGATATATACATTTTTCTGCGTGAATGAATACAAATGGAAAAAGGGGGAAATAATTTAAAAACACGTATTAGAAGGGTTAGCTCTACCTCAGGGATATGACTGGAGGTTAAATTGCAGTTTGGCATCGTTGTGTCGTCATCAGCCTTGAAGAAAAATAGCACAAGCTGTGTTACTACTAATACTGGACATATTATCACCAGATGGAAGTAGGTAATCCTTAACATCTGTCTCACTCACAGACTGTTCCAGGCTCTCAGAGTGGTACACCACCTCAGGCTGAGGGTCACTAGTGGTGTGACTGCTGTAGTGTGGACTGCCCTCGCTGGAACCTGGCCTCTCAGCTGCATCTCCAGCTGACAAAATGAAATCCTCCAAAGTCAATAAACACCTTCACATATTCAATATGAGTAGAGTTGCTGGTGACTTTACTTTGCAGGTACAAACAGCAGGATGGAGCTCCAGTCACTAGCTTGTTTTTCAGCTCAGACAGATTTAACAGTATGATTGGACTTCATGAGGACACTCCCATGATGCTTTTTCAAGAGTTGCAAAGAAAGTTTTGTCATCAACTATCTCCATTAAACTGAATGTCAACATTTCATGATATTCACGTGAATAAATAAGTAAACAACACATGCATGAAGAGTTAATGTCACAACCACCTAAGCTTTATGTTCGCTTACTTTTCAAGGTACTTGTAGCAAGATTACTGTCGGCCACTCCAAAGGCCTCGGCCATCATGAGCAGCCCCCCCTGCATCTGACTCTCATCCATAAGAAGGTTTGGGTCTTTTATCTTTGAGAAGAGCAGGGTCTGCAGGTATTCCACTGCAGACAAAAGAAAAACAAAAAGAGAAAAAGAAAACAGTCTCCTCCTTAAAAGACATCATCAATGCCCTCTGAGTCATGACTTTGCTGTATGGGAAAACAGAACTGAGAATATTTCACTTTTACTTCATTGCATATCTTAAGAATTCAAATGTGTTTTCAGCTTACCAATGCAGAAATAACTGATATTGAATATTGCCTCATTATTCCAACCATGACAAACAAAACTGAGGTGAAATCTTTAAAACATAGTAGAAACTGATCTGATGCTGTTGTCTCATGCTCTTACCCTCATTGAGGGCTCCTTTGAGCAGTGTCTCCCCCTGCTGGAGGTCAGTGGCGTCTCCTCGGAGCAGCAGACCTTTGTGGGGGGTTTCCTGCTCCATCACAGTCTCGTAGAGAGAAGCAAAGATCTGCTGTTTATCCATCAGACATTGCATTATTTGATCATCCATAGTCTTTAGAATATCTAAAAAGCAAATAAACATCATGTTTGTTTAGTAAATGCAGGGGAAATGCAAAGAAGGCATGCTGATTTAGCAGGATTGCCATTTTCCAGTGAGGACTCACTGCAAAACGACAGTCAGATAAAGGAGTCAAAATCCCACCATGGTCTCTTCCTGTAAAGTTCAAGATTCTTTTCCCACTGAAATATCTTGCATTGGCATTTATAAAAATCTAAACAAAAGAAGACAAAATCAGTGTTGCGTAGTTAGTGTAGCAATGATGCACCATTTTAACCTTTCACAGCTTCATCAGGTGAACCCTTTTCTTTTCCTTGATAAAATCCTTCCATTACAATATAATAAAGTTCTAAACCTTTCCTCAAATACCTCAGGACAAGTACCTCTACCTACAGAAGAATACTGATCTACAGAACAAAATCTCTCTCACACACACACAAACACACTTTGTTTCATAGTTCTTTTAAGGCTGTTAAGTTTGGCTTGCATTTGATTGGCAAAACTCTGATACAGGTGAAAAGTGTGCTCATCACATGGAGATTTATTTTGTAGATTTGAGACAATAAAACAGTAAATTGTCTTTTCCACCAACGTCTCTCCATAATTACATTCTAAAGTTGTGTGCAAGAGAGAGTCCTGACTCTTGCTATAACACATCCTTTGGAGAGAAAAAAAAAAAAAAAAGAAGACGACCATCTGATTAAGTTCTTACCATAAAATTGTTGCAGTCTAGCAGTCAGTTTGCGGTACTGCTCCTCTTCTGGATAGCTGAATCACAAAGACATCTTAGTCAGTATTATCTTTTATGTAATATTTTAAATGACATCTTTGACAACATTGTGAACAGGTATTTTTCAGTTTTCCATAAAATTATGTCTCCTTGTTGTGCTTTTGATGTTTATCCCTCATGGTGTGGTATAAGTTAAGGGTGGGTTGGCTGTTCTTTCAGCCAGTCTGTTCAATTCTTCAGTTTTCTAGCAGGGTAACGAATTTTGCATACAGGTTCTCCCTCATAATTTAACTGCCAGAGTGCCAGGACATTTGTGTTTTCAAAAGGGAATTTGCTTTTAATGACAACACTGATCATGAGGGTACAACAATTTAACTGGTTACTATTTGAGAACAAAACTAATTTAGTTATATTTCAGTATTTTAACTATCACCAGGTACCAATGCTATTAACATAGGCTGTTAGAACTATGCTAAAAAACATTCACAGAATTGTAACAAAAACAAAAATGTCCTGTTTCCCAGTAAAATTCATTCTGCTCTATTTGCTTGAAGTTCTCAGCTTACCGGTTCACAGCTTCCCTTATCTGCCCCATCCATGTGATGCATTCCTCTTTGGAGCCTGTGTGGATCTCGTACATCTCCGGCATGCTGTCGGTGCATGCACAAATAAGGTACATGGCTTTGTCCTCATGAGCCACTTCCCTAACTATCAGCCTTTGAAGGGAAATCACTGGTGGTTTGTTATCCTGCATGAGCCAATACAGCAGGTGTTAGTTAATACCATAGGTACGGGATTATTACATGATATAATTTTTGTAGATATGATATGATGTAGAGATCATATCTTGAAGAGTCTGACTTAATATTGCTCCTGTCCATGTAGAAAAAGTGGACTAAAAAAGGAACAACAGTATTATACAGTAGACTGACTGATGCAAGAAAAAGCTGTGTTTTCTATAATCTTCTCTTTTTTTTTTTTATGTTTGGGCAGAACTCACCACAGCAGCAAACACAAGCTTCTGATCTTTCTCTTGTAAGAGGAGCAGTACATCTGACAGCAGCACAGCATGGATGTCTGCAGGTAGACAGAAGTGTCATGTTTTGACTCAAGCTGCTGAAGATCGACTTCAGACACCAAAATTTGCTGATCCGTAAGTAATCAATTAATTCAACCTTTTTTTAACATCGCGGATTCATTGAGGGCATGCCCTCAATTTTAACGAGAGAGTACAATTAAAAACAGAATAAATACCCACAAAAGACAAGAGACAGACAACAACAGAACACAGTTCCATGCCACTGGTTCCAGAATTACATTCAAAAGCTATGAAGAGTGACGAGTACGGCAAAAACTAAATTACCGGAGGAATTTGCTTTCTCTCTGCGCAACAAACCATACACAGAAGCATCCTGTGACAGGCAGCTCCATGCTTGACTGTGAAGGAAGGGAGGGCCATGGTTTCCACAACATGCCTACAAGGCATACAAGGTGGCTGCACTGGCCCTCAGTACGACTTCTCCCCTGATAGCATACAAAGCTGAACTGGAGGCCTGACCCTGTGTTATGGGCGAGGTGTGCAAAAATCACCAAACACTGTCTCCATCTGCACAAGGTGGGAATCCAATCCCAAGGCAGAGCCATTGGACTTGATGGTCTTGTAGCGGAAGAGGGCTCGTTGGCTGAATCTCACCACCCTGTCAACCAAGACTGAGGAGGACCTCCTCTACCTCACCATAACACCGCAGAGCCTCTTCAGTGTGGCGGTGACGTTGATGCAAAAGAGGGTTGAAGAGAGAAAGAGGGAAGATGAAGCTCCGAAGCTGTCTCCCACAAAGGGTCGCCAATCCTTTGGTCAGGCGGCGGGCACTGCCACTCCTCTCATGTGGTGAAGAAGAAGAAGCGGCTGGTCTGATAACCCCCCCGGGATTTGGTGAATGAGGCGGCTCTGTGAGCGATTCAATCTGAGGACCGTGGGCCTCCCTCTGGGTGTAAGTGAGACCATCCAGAATGCTGGGCCACCCCTCAAAGAGCATCCCTTTATGAAATAGCATTGTTGACTTTTGCTCAGACATACAACAGGTTCCCTTTCAGTGTTCTGTGGCTGTGATCTTGGCTTTCTTACAAAACATGGTGGACACGGGGGAGGCTTTCTCTGTTGTGTACTTAGCTATTTGACAGTGTGACAATAGATACTAGTAATAGCTAAAAGCATGTTTGGCATGGTGGGGTAAATACCGAGGGAAGGAAGTAAGAGTTTAGTGCAATCATTACAAGAGAATTGTCACTCTATGCAAGCATTAGTGACTTGAATTTGAATAGGAAGGCCATGGGTTGCCAGTACCCCACTTCATGGAGGGGCACACGCCGTAAGCTACCAGTTTTTAAAACATTTGCCTCCCCACACATGTTCGCCAGGTTCTACAGATGCTGATGTTACAGCTCCTCCATTAGCCCATTTTGTACTTTGTGTTTAAGCATAAATTAGGCTAATCTCAGGACAGTTAATCCCACAGTAACATCTGCCCAGATATCCGGGAGTTAGAAATTCCCAACATGAGATCCAAAACAAATGCTATGAAAGAGTGTGTCAGACCAGCCTCCTTGCTCATTCGTAGTGAGGACGAGACATTTTTTGAATGACTAGCAGCTTAGTGTCAGACCCTTTTATGGGCAGGGTCTCGGAGGGTGGAGTGAATGTGAGACACTAACTCATGTTACGCAAGTAACCTAAAGTTTTCCCAAATTTAGGGTTAGCATGCGAGCCAATCACTTGAATGATTCAAATAATGACTATGGGATCAGTTTAATAAGGAAGTGGTAAAACATACAAATATGCTGCTACACTAGTTCACAAAAGCAATTTGCCCCAATGCTGAACCTCTTATTAAGGAGGTTAATTATCCTGTCACTTAAGAATCATCCCTCAAAGTGTCATCAAAATCAGACCAACGCACGCACACATTTGGTGAAACATTTAACGGAAGAACCTGAATGAAAACAACCATAAAAATTGCAGATGTTTCCATACAGATGCATTGCATGATACAGTTCAGTAATGTATATAACATTAGAGCTGCTCTGATGGTGGCCCAAGACTTTACTAGTCAAGATTAATATTCAAACATTTATTAACTGTGTCTTAGTCTGCATTCCTAAACTGCAACCAATACCACTGCAAAAAGCCTGTCATGTCATTATCATCTCTTATGCACAAGGAAATAATGCTGCTGAATGAACCAGGAAATGCTGTGAATGAGCTTTGTTGTTGGGGAGATTTTTCAATCAGATTAGCACATAAAAAAGAAATTTCCTTCAAGATAAAGCGATTGGCAAAGGAAACTGAACCCTTGCAAAACAGCACTGATCATCAGATCATCATTTCAACTTAAATGCCAACTGCTTATGGAAAGAAAATCTAGCAAAACGCTTTACATGTACATGTGAGCAAGGGTCACTGATTAAGCCACATAGTAACAGCCGCAATGTCAATAAATTCGTTACAAACCTTTTTGTCTACTGGAAGATTTCCAGGTGACGATGCCTTCATACAGCAGCGTCTTGTCTTCCTTGAGCAGATCCTCCTTGCGGAACAGCTGGCCGTCCTTCAGCCGGCCATGAGATTTCGGCTCCAGTCGCAGGCCGATCTCGTTCAGACGAGCAGCTTTCTCATATTCACATACACAATTGTTCACCTGGGAGATGGTCTCTTTGATCAGCTCCAAACCCTGTACCAGAGAGTTGTACTCATCCGTGTCAGCTGAAAGGAGCATGAAATTCATTAATCAAAACAATCTTTCTTGATATATGAAAACATTTTATGCAAGGGACCATTCCAGCCTGTATTTGTGTTACCAAACAACATAGCAATTGAATTTCCCTTATTTCAGTTTGTCAAAACAGTGAAAGGCTGAGCATAGACTATCTATAACAACTTGTTGAGATACAGGCAAGTGATGAGTGTTAAGATTTTACCTTTAGTGTTCTGTATGATTCGCTCCACCAGGATGGGATATTTTGTAATGCGTTGAGCCACCAACAGAAAACACTCTGGGATTCCCAACCTTCGCACTAAGGGCAGCTGACCTATTTTCTGTTAAAACACACAGAAAGGCTTTTTTCCCCCCCATTCCTACCATTCTCCTCTCCAGAGGAGTCTTAGGTTGAGCATCACAGACTTATTAATTTTTGTAAAATGCATCACTCTTTGTAAAGCGTCGTTGTTTGCGAACAGGCCTGTGAACAGCAGATACTGCAACTGATGCTCCATGCATGCACCTAATTCACTTCAATTTCTTGTTTTGCCAATTCAAGTACATTTTCTCGGTCACAAAAACACAACCACAGGCCTTGCTGTGTCTTAAAGATCATCTTATCAGTGCACATAAAATGAACCACGAGCTTACCCTATTAAGGATTTGCAGTTTCTTGTTGTTCTGCAGCTGCTCTTTGTAAAAGCTGGTGGCTTCAGTGTGATGACTGCAGAAAACACTGTAACACTTGATCATTCCTTCTCCCCATGCACCTGAAAACTAACACACACACAAAAAAAATCCATACATTTATATTTCTAAAAAGAATACAATGTTGCATTAATGTTACTGCCAACATATTACTGAAAATATAAACATGAATATTGTGTTTATCTTGGGAAACCTACCTACCTACCTTCGACTATCTATACAGTGTATGTCCTTACAGCACAAACCAAATATGAACCACCCTAAAAATGCATGGTGCTTTGGTTTAACTCTGTTTAACTGTTGTATAAACTGCAGGGGTGCAAGTTATCCGACACCAACTGATGACAAAAACCAGACATTTTCTCTAGCAGTTCTACAAAAGGTTATAATTCAGAACAAAATCTTGTATCTGTGCAAATATTTGTTCCTGTTTGATTCCTCAGTCAGGAAAATGATTATAAAAGTGTGTCTCCAGGAACATGATGCCAGTGACACTGCATCATTCCTGGCCTTAAGGCACAAACACAGAGTGCAGTGCACACTTACACTGAGTTTCAGACATACCAGCCATTCCTATGGACACCTGGACATTCAGTCAATACATACAGAAAAGGCGAGAAATGGTAAATGGTCTGTGTAGTGCTTTTGTAGTCTTCCGAATACTCAAAGCACTTTTTACACTATGTCACATTCACCCATTCATACACTGGCAGTTGGCTAGGGTGCCAACTGCTCATCATAACAGAAATTAACGAACATTCATCCACATTCACACACTGATGGAACAGCCATCGGGAGCAATTTGGGGTTCATTCAGTCTCTTGCCCAAGGACACTTGCAAACACATGCAAACTAGATTAGCCAGCAACACGCTCTACCTCCTGAGCCACAGCCGCCCACAATAGTGGAGAGATTATTCAATCCAACATAAAGCCAATAACAAGCTGCAGTCAGTGCTGCATTTTTGTGATGTAATGGCAACGGGCACAAAACACCTTGAAGCAATGGTGGCAACTTGGATAATGCTGAACAATGTGTTCACAGTAATTTTATGATCTTTTGAACCTTTCTGGAAATCTAAAGCAGCTGTTATTTTGGAGAAAGCTTGTGTGGAGATGTACCTCTATCTTGCTGTGAGTCATGTTGGCATACAAACTTTGCTGGGATTTTGAACTGAAGGTGAGTAAATAATGACATTTTCACTTTAAGAATGAGGCACTATTTAAACATGCATTCTACAACTTGCATGTTTAAACGGTCTCTGAGCAAAATTCCCTCCAAAATAAAACTTTAAATTTGAGGGCCTGACCCCCCCCTCTCTGTTGTAACACATTAGTTTAGATCAAGTAGACTGACTGCAATGATTTACATAAAATTACAGCCTGGTGTGGCTTTAAAATAACTATACTACCTGAGAGATGAGAATATCCCCCAGTTGTGTGATCTGGTAGTCGTTTGGGCTTCCTTCCTGACTTTGGTTTTGGTGCACTTTGAGGCAGTTAAGGAAGCGCTGGTGGAGGGTGAGCAGTTCAGCCACCCCCAGGAAGAGCCCCTCCAGCTTGTTCTCCTCTATTAGCAAAGACTTCCCCAACTCATGCATGTAGACATAGAGAAGGATTTTTAAGGTGCGTACATGGTGCATCTCCGTCTGGATCAACTCTAGGAAAATGACAAAAGAGGGATCTCTTGATTAATATGTCTGAAAGAGATCCAGGTTGAGTGTCTGAAACATATGGTAACATTTGCGTGGGCTATAAAGGCAAAAACATATACATACACTTTCAACAACCACCAAGCGGGGTGCCCTTGAGCAAAGCGCTTGCTTTATTTGCAATACAAAGAATGGCCACAGAACAATTCCCACATGAGGGAAAACAAAACAAAATAAAATAAATAAAGTAGTGCAGTAATCAAAGCTGGAAAAATGCATTCTTAGTGAACATGTCCTGTTAGAAAACCTACAATTGTTAGCATCATTATACTTATCATAGCAGAAGTGTTTACCGTCAACAGGTCCTCCAAGTTAAAGAAAGCATCAGTCATCATCATCATAATTAGGAGGTACTGTCATCTATGCTTCAACAGTGCAATTACAATGAAATCTGCCATCAGCGATGGAGTCATCTTCTTTAATGGGTGATTGACATGAGAAAGTTTTGATATACACTCTAAGATGATATAGGGTTACTGAAAATGCAATTTAGTATTTGGATGGTTATTTATTAGTTTATTTTTACAGATTATCCATTTACAGATTTATGTGGTTAAGCCTACCATAGATGACGTCCTGTCTTTCAACAGCCTCTTTGTTCAGGGCCTTCAGGTAGTTCTGGTCCACAGCCACACTCCACGACTCCGCCTCCAGGTTCTGGGCGTCACACTCAAGGTCGACACGCAGTTGAGCATAATGGGAATCTGGATATCACATAGATAGTCACACTAGGGCTTGTTATAAACCACACAAGGCTTCTGCTTTGTGATCATATGAGTGTTGATCTCAGTGATTCATTACTGGGGTTATTTTTAATCATTTTTGGTTGCAAAAATGTTGTTTACATGGCGCCAGGATTTATTCATGTCATACTGTTTCATTACTTACAAAAACAGAAGATCAAGTCAATAAAAAGACAATCTATTTAAAAGAAAATTTTAGCCACATCTGTGATTACAAAAATATCCAATATGTATACCTGTGATGCTGCAGTGTACATGTTGTACACTGCAGCATCACATGCTGATCTTTCTCTCCGTCCACAATTGACAAAAATATGAGAATTCAAACAGCACCGATTACTTCCATCCTTGGTTACAAACATTTTATGTATCTTTAACATCTTCTACTATTACTGTAATCACTATTTACCATTCACTAACAAGATGACATTTGTGAAATCCCTGTTACCAGATCAAAAATGTACACAAGGAGGATGTGTTTTCAGGTTGTTTGTGCTACTGAATGGACATACTCTTTTGCACTTTGTCTTATTAACAGGTATAAAGGAATACAAACAAAAGAAATCAGTTATTATCATCACACAGTTGATCACTTGTACTGACTTAACTATAGGAGATTTACCAGATGATGGTAAAATGTCATTAATAAAGTGAGTTAAAGAGGTCAACAGTGAGAGATTCTTTGGTTTCTTTGTACAATGTCACATATTTCATAGGCGAGGATTAAACTTCAAAAATACTAAAGACCATCTAAAGAAAACCACACCAAAAGTTTCTGTTAGCTATTTTTAAAAGTACATCATGCTGTTGTGACAAAGGTACAGGGACCTTTCAGCAGTTTCTCATGAAACCAGCTGACCTTCTAGATTGATGGACTCCAAGGAGGGAGCCAGTGACACCGATTCCTCAGGGGAGGGCTTGAACCGCAGGGCTACGACCTCATCCATCTGCACTGGACCGGACCTAGTTGGTATGTGATGAGATAAACCCCCACAGGTAAGAGTGATGTCAGCACACAAACACGCGCTCACACAAAAGTTGCTTAATTCAGTCACAGAGCTGCTATTGGACTTGGATGGTCAATCTTGTCTATCCAATGCAAAGTATAACACAACCTTGATGTTTTAAGGAACAATGCCCATAAGACCAAAAAGGCATCACATGACTCAGAATCAGGTTGTGTACCACACATCTCCACCAGGCTGACAATGAACCCGGAAAAACAGGTGACTCGGTTTGTATTTCAGCTGCTGACTCTTGACTGGAAAATGATCGGTCATGTCTGAGGAAAAACTAAATTAAGACAGCCCAAAGTACTGTGAATGTGGCCTAGGACAGAAGGAACATGACGGAAATGAATTCTTAAAATACAGGCCCACCAACCTAATACTTGAGTCCTTGTTAGTGGAGGAACCAGCCTGAGAAGAGTGTTTTCTAGGGGTGACGGTCATGCCTGGACTGCAGAAGCAGGCAGGGAGGCCATGGGAGGCCGGGGGGGAAATACTCTCCCCAGAGCTGAGAGAGAGCGCACCAGAGGGGAAGATAAATAGAATGAGTAACAGAGGCAGAAAGACAAACACTGAGATCACATCACCACAGAAAGTCAATGCATAGTTTATCGCCCATGGCCACATTAAAAGCAATGACGATTTCAAGAATTAAGAGTTTATTATTAAACAAGAAATTAAAGTAAACACACCTTTATTATTAGTGTCTGAAAAGCACTTTGCTGACTCACAAACCCTCAGACAGATTCCCTACAAAAGAAAGAAGAAAAAAAGACTGTAAATGGAGAGTGCATTACAGGCTGCTGCAAAACTAATCCACCCCTGTAGAGAGGGAACTGGTTTGACAAACTGCAGCAGCACAGCCCAAGTCAGGCTCTCAGGTAAGGATGCAAAAAAAGAAAAAAGTACTTCGGTAACAAAAGCTTCAAAAGACATGATTTATTACAGTGACGCATGTACATTAGCCGTTTGCACGTACAAGGATCAACATTTCCTATTCTACTTAGTAGAAACCTTACAGATGAATGACAACAAGCTCTCATCTACTCAGCATTTTCACCTCTGCAGGGTAGGGGTGTGAAAATGTTAATAGATTCCATAATAATGCTTCAGCTGACACATCCTTTCAAATCAAGCTTTGATCTGAAAGAGTTCCTCGTTTCAATTACTTTGAAAGCCAGTCATCTCTATGTCTGCGACCAGGAATGACTCACCTTGTTCATTTATACTTTTGCTTACTGTTTTCCGTGTCCCACAGTTTTCTTGTGACACTAGAAAAAAAACAAATACAACCCCCCCACCACCACACACACACACACACACACACACACGAGGGGGAAATCCACTTAAACCAGTGGATAAAAACAAAAGTGGAAATTGCTGGCTGTGTTTGTATGTGTGCTATTGCTAATGGGCCCTTGAGGGTCAATAAGACTGATTCAAAGTCATGAGTAGCAAAGCTTATGGCATTTCAGACAGAAGGGAGAAAACAGCTCTATAATGATAAGAGCATTAACGAGGACAACAAACTGCTAAAAAAAAACAACTCCCCTTTCCAGCTACAAACAGCATTCTAATTGTTTCTAAGCTTATTAGTGTACGAGATATAGTTTTAGAGGAGAAGCAGCAGTTGTTTCAGACACACCTAACACATACACGTGACTGTTTGACTAAAGGAGTTGTGACACAAACTCACAAGGGAGCTCTCCTGCTAGCGTCTGCCTCACCCGTGTGTAACTCTGACACTTCCTGTAGAACAACCTCAGTACGAGTGACTGCAGCACACTACTTTGATATGCTGAAAACGCCTTACAGTCATGAGGGCTTTGATTAGATTTTTACCCCACACATCCACTGGGAGCTCGGAGCACTGAGGCAGTGTGGGTGTTTACACCGCTAGCACAGGAGCTTTGGAGCAGAGTAAGAGGAGGTTTAATTGAGCTAATAAAGCTTTAAAGCTAATAGGACCGCTAGCTATACGGCTAACTGAACTAATTAGCTAATATCAGCTACAGTTAGGCTAGGTGATGGGATTGTCATTAGCTAATCCATCAAGTAGAGGCAAAAACTTGAGAGGAAAAGTCAGGAGATCAACAGTCGGTAGGGTTCATCCTCTGGGGACTATGGATGACTGTACAAAAGTTCATGGCAATCAATCTAATTTGTTGAGATATTTCAGTCTGGACCAAGGTGGTGGACTGACAGACAGCTGTGGCTTAGAGGTAGAGCGAGTTACCCACTAATTGAAAGATTGGCGATTCAATTCCCAGCTCTACTACTCTGCATATCTTAGCGTCCTTGGACAATATACTGAACCCCAAATTGCTTTTGCGTAAAGGCACTATACAAGTACAGTCTATTTACCATTACCAACCAATTTACTGACATTGCCATCAACAGGGTCATGCCTCTAACAGAACTAAAAATGCCAGACACTTGCTAGTTCCAGCCTCACAAGTTTTGACGAAGTGTGGCAAGTTTATGCCATTTTTCAGACTAAAATAATCAGTTATTTAAAAAATATATATATAGTACAGTACAAGTCTCAAATCTCAGTACTCATTAGATCTCTCTGCTCTACCTGTTGCTCAACCTTTTCTTGTTGTGTCCTGAAAACAAAATTATGAAGTGCAGTCACAATTTCCCCAGTTTGTACTACAATATTCTGCCAAAGGAGATATTTCCCATTACTCTTGTCTGTTTCTGATTTCAGGTAAAGAAACAGCAGCAACTCTATGCTTTAGACTTGACTGTTCATATTAGAGTATTTTCTAAACACGATTGTTTCCGAGTACCATAATCTACATTTAAGATCTACAAACTTCCTCAGCGTAAAAACAACTTTACAGCATCACCTGCCAAAGCACTTACCTATAGGCAAGTATCATATTACTTAAGACTTGTTTTAAAGCCTCATGATATGTTATTAGCCATATTGGTTGCATGGTTCAGTCCCTTGTTGTGGTTGTGTGTCACAGCCACACCTCAAATGATTCACACTCACTGGGTGGAAAGGGAACAGAGTAGCGTGAAATACAGGTCATTCGCTACAAGAGACAAAACAAGACCAGCAAGTCTGCCAAGTAAACTGCTGAGGACGGAAAGACGGGAAGAAACTGCAATGTTGTGTTTGTGGAAGGTAGCGTCACTTAGAAAAGAATCATTTCAACACCAAAATAGCAAGACCATTAAAACAAGTGAAAGTTGCTGATGTTTAGTAATTAACAAAACATGTGAAACCAGGCCATAGACCGTTAACACCCGTGAAATTATATCCATTAGCCCTGAGGAGGACTCCTGGCTGATACAAAGAAAGCAGTGATCTGTGTTGCCCATGTTCCTGATAAACCCTGGGCATCATCACAGAGGTATAATTTCTTAAAACCAGATACACCACATGACTTGCTTCTTCCTCACAGCAACTTCCCATCCACCTGCCTTGACACACAAATGGTTTACTCATTAACTTCTAGATCCTGGCTGTGTTTTTATCCTTAGTATAGCGTGACGTTAACGCATGCCAATGTGATTCTCTCATTATGAACAGGTGAATCCTACCCTTACCAAGTCTTCAATCTGGGGGAAGAGCAACACATGTGTGTATGCAATGCAGTGTGAGCCCCAGGCAACTTGCAACATAGGATACTGACAAAATGTAAAACTGAAAAGTCTCTTTTATGATTGGTGCAAATAAATGGTCACATGGAAGAGCTGTGCTGTAAAGCATAAGTGACTAAGGATAAATGGGCTATAACCAAAGGGCTGAAAGATGTGCTAAAAACTGCAGTACCTTAAATGGCCAGTTGAGGCTGGCTCCAAAAGCAAGTTAATCTACATAGACCCCCCCCCCCCCATGGGACAATATTCATTCCTTTAACTGTCAACTGCTAAATACACTCTCTTAATACTGTCAATTTGAGGGGACACTGAGACCTGTGGGATTTTCACGCTTACAAAACACTACACCAATGCACAACACCATTTGTTTTTGTACCAACTTCATGATAGCTCTGGTGGTGTAGATGTAGATATACGTGCTTCATATTAGAGTTTTTGGAAGATGTAATATACAAGAACTTCAGTTTAATTTAGCGGTCACAGTAAGCACAGATAGATTAGAAGGTTTCACTGCTTTCTTATTTCCCCAATTAAAAGAGAATCTGCTTACACTCCTGACATCTAATTTTTAATGCCTACACTTCAAGTGACACTTCAACCCTTTCACCTCTCAGCTCTTCCCTTCTTCATCACTTACTTTCACTGTCCTTGCACAACTGCTTTCAGTAATTACACTTCAGCCCACACTTGTTTCAGTTAACTGAAACCTCATTAATTTCAAACCTCATTAATTTCTCTTGACTTTCTGACACTTCAAGGGTACAGTTATCACTAGCACTTTGACGACTTCAACTCCTTTCAGTGCTTGAACTTTGGAATTGGCACTTAATTCAGTGCTTAGTTTACACTAAACTGCCATTTCAACCAACAATTTTCAGTATTTCAGGTATCAACTGCATATTTAAAAAAACAACAAAAAGGCCACGTGTATAGTTTCTGTTTTTTAATATTGCTGTCAAACACCCTACTGTAACAGCAGCTTTCACGGTTTAATATAATTCAGCGTATATCAAAACGGTTAGTTTTCATTTCATTCCGCATATAACGTAACGCTGTATTTCATTTTCAATAACGCTTCAAATAGAAAAACACACCATAAGGTTATCATTTGGGGGAACTTTTCTACCCGTTAACGACATTCCCATCAGGGTTTTTGTGTTATCCAGCGGAAGGGGAATGTGAAGAATGCCAAGGTGCAAGGTGAGATTAAATGACCTGGATTCATAACGTGAACTTTAATGTCCACTGAAAAGAGGGTCAGACTAATTAGATCAATGGACAGGTGTTTCAGGGGATAAAACAGGTGTAAAGTCAAGAGTCGAGACATGAGTAGGCTGCCAAATGGCCGTTTCTCAACTTGTTTGTCCCGTCCGCCCTGTTCCTTTACTTAAGAACAATTAAACAGTTTCATCTTACCCAGCGTTGAAGAAATGGCAGCAGTGCGCACCGAAAGCAACTTTATTTCCAGGCAAGAGAGGTTATATCTCTCAACAGCTTCCACTAAAAGGTAGAGACAGTGCGGATGCCTCAGGAGGAACAAGTGCACGAATAACAAACAGTTGAGCTGGAGGGGGCGTTTAAAAAAGAAATCCCTGCCTCCTCTGGATGAGTCCTCCTCCCCCTCTAAGCATCATGGGAAGCGTTTGGTTCACTCATTCCGCAGGTTCATTCAGCTACCTGCTGCTCAGACTCCCTACGTCTTTAAATTAATGCAGATACGAGGCATCCATGACGCCTTTGACAGTATGACACCGCATGCTCTGCTGCAATGATTTGGTTATACATTTATACCAGATTGATTTTTAAAAGTGACTTTCCCTGTAAGAAATGATGACACCTTCCTGCAGTGTGGAAACCAGTGGGTGTTTATTTAGGTAAAAATAAACAAATTTTCTTTATGTAGGCAACTAAAGGGGATGCAGGTAGAAGCTCAGGCACTATTTGGTACGCTTTGTGTCATTTCATTTTCACCAGGCGTTTTTGTTTTGGCAAATTGAACCAGCTTGAGGGTAGTTTTATAACAAGTGACTGAAAGTCATGTGTAAAAATATAAATAATGAAACTAGCAAGCTGTCTATTACATAACTGGATTGATCACTCACGATGACTTTTACCTCTCTCACTTTGATTACTCTGTTTCAGGGTGTATTTTCACAATCAGAATCAGAATCACGTTAATTGGCCAGGTATGTGTACACATATGAGGAATTGTGTTACATTGCTCTGGATGTAGATACACAGAACAAGCATTAACAAAAACAGACACAAAGTACCATGTATAGACACACACACACACACACAAACATAAACAAAAACAACAACTTTTGTAGACCATGGTACTATGGATGCAAAGGATGCTGGAATAAACATAGGTGTTTAATTTTATGTACATGAGGTAGGTAGATATGATATATACAGTACAATATGAACAAAATCCGTACATGTGTTTTGAGAGATGATATTAACCGTAAAACTTCAATTGATAGCCCGGGCTTTTATTTGCTTCAATCACTGAACCTTTCCTGTAGTACACATGGTACTGACAAGTTAGTAAAGGTTCATTCTGAATGAATAGTATTTTGGTGCTCATTGTTTCTGTGACATGAACTAAACGATTGAATTGTGGAGAATATGACCTAATCTAATGATGTGTAGTATGTCCATACTGAAAAGTTTGAACATTTGAATTGGTATGCACAATCTAAGCAGCTTAGAACTAGCTTCAGCAGGCTTCCTGGTGGGCTTTACGAGGTTTTAGCTCAGTCAAAGGGACAGGCGACTATTCAGGACTAGAGTTTTTAATTGAGGTTTTATGGTATGTTTAAAAAGAAAAACTGAATTTGGGCAATGAAAAAATAAATAGTAAATAGTTTACAGGTAAAGTAAAGATGTAAGATTAACAGGGTTATTGCACAGGGATTGTTCCTGACATTGTGTGTCTGGAGTTAAATGTTCATTAACTGTTCATCAGAGTGATGGCCTGTGGGTAACAACTGTTCCTGTGTCTATTTGTTTTGGCGTGCACAGCCCTGTAGTGCCAACCAGAGGGGAGAAGCTGGAATAAGTTGTGTCCAGGCTGTGTAGGATCTGCAGTGATGTTTCCTGCCTGTTTCCTGACTCTGGACATGTACAAGTCCTGAAGGGAGGGCAGGTTGGCACCAATGAATTTTTCTGCTGTCCTGACTGTCCATTGTAGTCTGTTCCTGTGCTGCTTGGTGGCAGATCCAAATCAGATAGTGATGATAGTGGATTATCAGCACTTTTGTTTGTTTATGTGGTAACATAAACAAACAAAAGTGCTTTGATGCAAGCAAAGCTAATTTGCTAATCTTTATTTCTGTATTATTAATGATTGATTAAAATTATATCCACTTTTGCTGGGGTGGGTGGGTGGGGGGGGAACTTTCTGTGGCTTCAGAAGGTTTGGTTCTCAACTGTAGTTCTGGTGGAGAGGGTGGAGAGGGTGGAGAGCAGTGGAGAGAGCACACACCCCTGGGTGTGCCAGTGCTAGTTGTCTGGGTGCTGGATGTGATGTTCATCAGCCTCACCTACTACCTCCTGTCATTCAGGAAGTTTGTGATTCACTGACAGGTGGAGGCTGGCACAGTAAGCTGAAGTTGAACGTCAAGCTGAAGTCCACAAACAGGATCTATTATGTTTCTAGGAAGTCAAGGTGTTGCAGGATGTAGCCCAGTCCCATGTTGACTGCATCATCCACTGACCTGTTTGCCCGACAGGCAAACTACAGTGAGTCCAGCAAGGTGCCTGAAATGTCTGTCAAGTCGGCCAATATCTGGTCTTTCAAATGACTTTATCGACAGATCTCAGGACGACAGGCCTGTAGTAATTTAATCCTGTGATGGAGGGTTTTTTGGGGACCGGCAGGGAATCTCTCACAGCTCCGGTGATCTGTTGAAGATCTGTGTGAAAATGGGGCCAGATGGTCGAGACAAATTTCCAGGCAGGATGGTGACAATCTGTCTTGTGATCCACACAGATTAGAGGGGCCACAGGTGATAGGAAGCTTCTCCAACAGGTATGAATGTTTGCAGCAGAGGTGGTCTATCCTCAGAAGGAGAATGTCACTCATGGACCATGTGTGTGAGAGACATTTTCTTTGAAAGGTTAAGAGTTAACTTTTAATTTCAATTTTATTAATATAGCCGCAAGCGGCAATGATTGGGATCCAGGCAAGTCACGAAAAAATGCAACATCTGACATTTTCAGAGGACAAGAACAGATGTAGATGACTTAAGAGATTAAAGTGATCAAAAAATTTGGACTTTGAGATAACTGTGGAAACGCAAACTTGTTTTTTATATGTACCGGACTTCTGGATGAAATGTTCAGCCCACCTGCAACATTTTGTGTTTGCAAGATTTAAAGTTTAAGCTGCACAAACACTTTTAAGCAGAGAAGAAAGTGAAAGAAAGAAAGTGTCACAGGATCCAAATAAAATAGAGAACTTAAACTCACTATGATCTGAACAACCCCATTGTCAGCAAGTCTGACTCTGTCACCTGAGGATTTGAACCCTTGAACTTCAGATTAGGTGATTTACTGACTGACTTGGTAAGAAGCTGTTTCCACACCTTCTCACAATTTAAGGTAGTGACATCACATTAGTGATGGCGCGACTGGAGGGCCTTGATGTCACCACTGGATCTAGTCTGAATTCAGCAGACAAAACTTAGCAAAACATATATTTTTAAACGGAAACGGTGGTGCCTTGAACACACAGTTGTGTATGAAAGCACGCTGATTTTTACTGCATTTACTGTGTTACAGCAGATTGGGTAACACCTCTGACACGCGCACCAAACGGGCCATTGCCCAACGATGCAAACCCAGCTTTCTTTTCAGCGTTGTAAAAGTGTTTTTTTTTCCTGTTCTGTGACTTTATTTTATAACCGTACACTGGGATGACCAGAGGCAGTATGTGGAGCTATGTATGTAGCTAACGTAAGCTAACGTAACGTATCACCACTGGCTGAAACTTTTCCAGACAGTCATTAACACTTATGATTTTTCATCTGGGGCTGCTCCTTGTTACATGCAGTTTGGTCTGGTAAGTGAAAAAGTTCTGTTTTTAGGCGCAGTAACGTTAATGTTAACACAGAGAGAGAGAGATTATTGCTTATAACTATAGTTTATTACTAGGCAATCCGTTAAGTATTCAATTGCCTGACAAATGCTATCAAAGACTATTGGTGGCGATGGGACAATGGATGAGACACACGCCTTTGGTGTGAGAGACCCGGGTTCAAAATCCCCCACTGCGACCCATCCACCATTGTGTCCCTGAGCAAGAGACTTAACCCCTAGTTGCTCCAGAGGCGTGCGACCTGTGTGACACAAATAGCAATTGTAAGTCGCTGTGAATGAATACATGTAAATGTAATGCTCAAGGAGAGACTGCAATTCCTTTATGGTGATATGAAAGTGTTATTATTTTTCGGCACACAGTAGCAAGCATATTATCATTTGTAGCGCTGTGCTAATTGGAGGATGCATCAAAAAGCCAATAATATTAAACAAATAAGCTGCAGTCAATACAGAGTAATACAGTAGGCTACAATAAAACTGAGTTCATTTTCACACGATAGTGGCTGATGGTGCAGTGTAGTTCATTAGGAAAGTGTTCATTTAAGTCTGTTTATCTTGTTTAATGTAAATAATAGTAGGTACTAATAACAATGAAAAATACATTATTTGTGATTCAAAATAATGGTTGTTGATAAATGAATAAGACACCCCCACAGATGGATGATTTTACTGCTTCCATGGGAGCTCAGACCATCTTTATCCTCGAACCCTGGAAACAATATAGAGCCTAGTTTCACTGTTATAGGTTAAATATGATATGAAAACCCCTTCAGTTTGGGAGAATGAAAGTTGGTGAGGAATGTTCAGTTTTTATTTAAATTTAATATTATTATTTGTTCATTTTGGCAGATGTAGTTTGTGGTCTGGTGAACTGGATTGCGTTATAAACAGCTGAGTCTCTTTTATTTAGCATGGCCTCACTGATATAAATGGGATAGACAAAAAATCAGAAACACCGGTCCATGTGATCCAAAACGATCATACAGTTGCAACAAAAACTGAACATTATCATTTTTATGAAGGGAGGATTTATTGCACAAATGTTGGATTTGACTGCATTAAATTTAGCTAGATGTACCAAATAAACTGGTAACTAAGTCTTAAAGACTAAAAACATTTATCACAACAATAAACTCTGCCCATATCAGATGTTTGTGAGAGTGTTTACATTTTATTTTGTAAACTAATCAAAAGTTGGTGTTCATATATTGTGTGCCCTTTAAAGACTGTAGAGAGTGCTGAGTCAGATAAATAATAAAACGTTAAAGCAAATTAGAGATGCTAACTAACGTTAGTCCTTTTAAGCTAATGAGGAGATTATTCTTTTGGAAAATGATGTACAAATGAAATGCTTGTAATAATACAGAAAAGTAAGTACTAAATGAAATTTAAGCAAAATTGTACGTACTTTTACGTACTAAAAATTTATGAAAAAAATCAGATTGACGTATCAAAATTCTT